TTTTCTTTGGGATGTAGGGAGTAGAGTCTAGAGCTATGGCTTCATGTGGTTCTTCAATTCCATCCTGACTTTTCACATGCAGGGACACACATGCATTATGTAAGTGCTAGTCAACTGCTTAGTACTTATCAGCATAACCTATACTCCTACAAGCTTACTCCCTCTGACCAAAAAAACAGATAACCTAGTACTAGAATGTGACATAGTACGAGGTTGGTTTTTTTTTTGGGACGGAGAGAGTATCTAGCTTGCATCGTCCATGCAGTTTTTGAGATTTGACAAAAGGATGGTGTCTAGTAGTAGAACATTGTTTACATGGCATACTTGGAAGGTTTTTTGCACACACTATTGTTTGTCACTACTAGAAAAAGCATTTTTTCCGACATAGGGGTCTTATTTTCGCAGACGGACATGACCCTTAGAACCAAATGATCGCCTACAAAAATATAAATCGGGGTGAAATTCGATGTCCGCCTGTGAAAATCTATTTTCGATGTCCGCCTGCGAAAATCTATTTTCGCAGGCGGACCACTTAAGCGGTGCCTGCACCACTTAATTGGTCCGCCTGCGAAAATAGACTGGAATATAATTTCTAAGTCCTCACACCTCTCCTCCCCTCCACATCTCTCCACCTTTCCCCTCCCCTCATCGGCCTCTCCCCTCTCCTCACCTCTCCTCCTCTCCCCTCCCCTCACTTCTACTCTCCCCGACGGCGGCTCCCGGCGGCGGAGGGCGGCAGCGGTGAGGAGGCGAGGCGGCGCGGCCGAGTAGCGCGACGGAGGAGGGCGGCGCGGCGCGGCCCGTCTCTCCCAGATTTGGAGGGGCTTGGGGGAGCGCGGCGGCGGCGGTGGGCGGTGGCGGCAGAGGGCGACATCGGCGAGGAGGCACGGCTCCCGGCCACGGCGGCGGCTCCCCTCCCCCCTCCCTCCCAGATCTGGCCGGAGGAGGGAGGGGGGGAGGCCGGCGGGGGCGGCGACGGCATGGAGCGGTGACGGCGTGGGGCGGCGGTGCGGGCCGGGCAGCGGCGGCGGCTCCCCTCCCCCCTCCCTCCTAGATCTGGCCAGAGGAGTAACGGGGGGGGGGGGGGGGGGGAGGCCGGCGGCGGCGACGACGGCGTGGAGCGATGGCGGCGGCTCCCGGCGCGGGCTGGCAATTTTTTTTTTGTTCGTCCCTTCCATTTTCGCAGGTAGGCCGTTGCCCCGACTGTGAAAATCGATTTTCGCAGTCGTTGTGGTGCGGGCGGACCTCTCTCCACCCTGCGAAAATTAGTTCTGGCCGCCTGTGAAAATTAGTTTTCTAGTAGTGTGTTGCTTAAAGTTTAGAGTGCAATTATGTATTCAGTAATCCGGCCCACGTATTGAAGCATTGGTGCTGTACTAGGGCGATAGATTTGAAGCACTACTATTACTGATATTTTTTTTCCTCTCCTCACAATTCACACAGCTAATTAACTGAAAGAGATCGACGATCGACAAGACACATGATGTTATTGTACGGTATATAGTGGTTAATTTATTTTGCCATTCAGATGATCAATCGATCTGCAATTTCCATTTATTTTACCCAGTGATCCCAATGTACATTCACCCTAATTATTATGTACGCATATAATCATCGGAAGCCTTCTTCGTACACATATGTTCATGTATCGAGAAGTACTTACTCCCTAGTTAGGCGTTTTATGACATATATGATATGCAACAGATCAATAGTTGGTCAAAGCCTTATGGAGAAACAAAATACTACATCCGTTTTTTAATAGATGACGCCGTTGACTTTTTTCCACATGTTTGACCATTCGTCTTATTCAAAAATTTTATGCAAATGTATAAGATATAAATCACACTTAAAGTACTATGAGTGATAAAACAACTCATAACAAAATAAATTATAATTACATAAATTTTTTGAATAAGACGAATGGTTAAACATGTGAGAAAAAGTCAACGGCGTCATCTATTAAAAAACGGAGGGAGTATGTCTTACTCTATCCATCCTAAAATATATATACGATGTCGATAACCTTTTACATAACATTTGACCATTTGTTTTATTCAAAATAATTATATAAATATAATTTATTTTAGGAAAAAAAAATCTGAATTAAGCACTGAACTATATATTGAGCTACTACGAATTACCCCCATAAACTACAAAACTAGACATTTTACACCCCAAATTCTTTAGACCGGGCAAATAACCCCCTAACTCAATCCGGAGCGATTTTAATCTACGTGCCACATACATGGCAATTCAATCAGCCTAAAGAATATTAAAATTTAGTGGGCCCTATGTGTTAGCATCTTCTTCCTCCTTGTTCCTCCTTCCCCAATATCTCTCTCCCCAGTCTGATTTCTCTCTCTTCTCCCTCACTTCGCTCTGCCTGGTGGCCAGTGGTGCTTCTAGCGGAGGACGCAACAACCTCCGCCACACCGTCCCCATCCCCAACCTCCACCACGCCCTCCATGTCCCCAACCAACACCGTGCCATTTCCAACCTCCACTGCGCCGCGTTGCTCCACCTAGCCCGCTTCTAAGCTAAAGATGTACGCTAGTGATGGGGCCACTGGTGAGAACGGATCGCGGGAACACGTGACCGCCATCGATGCCGACATTATGATGCAAGGCTGTCGTGGTGGTCGTATCCATGGTTTTGCTCCTCCTCGTATCATGTCTCACCTGCACGGAGGGAAGGATGCACTACCACAGGAGGCACCGGAGAGCGCCGCACCGCAAGCACCACCACAGGGCGATGATGAGTGGCGACAACCACGTCGCTACCTGTCGCGTTGCCTCCCGACTTCAATGGTGGGGAATAATCGGTCGAGCTGATGGGTTTGCCTTCGGGCGTCGAGGACGCACCGCCCCAATGGTCTTTGTGAGAGAAGCCTTGTCCAGCGATTCATCCTCCATTGAAAGCGCCCGAGACGTCGCTAATCCCGGCTAGGCCACTGTCACCTTCGCCGTCGTCGGTCATGATGCCATCGCATTCTCATGCTAATACGAGGAGAGAGAGAGAGAGTGAGTGCAGGAGAGGGATTGGGTTGAGGGAGAGATGACAATTGGCCCCATTGATTTTTATTATTATTTTATTGCTGACTGGATTGCCACATTGACGTTATGTGTAAAAGCTCGGGTCAGGGTTATTTGTCTGGTATGAATAGTTGAGAGTGTAAAATATCTAGTTTCGAGTTTAGGGGTAATTTGATCTACCATGATTTTTTATGGGTAAATCGGACTTTTCTTTATTTTATCGTGACTTGTTTTATTAGCAAAGAAACTACAATCTTAACTTAGGCTGCTTTCGTTGTGATGAGTTCTGGGGGATTGGGTGAGAAAAGGACATCGTATTCCGTGTGCACGCTTCTCAAACTACTAAACGGTGTATTTTTTGCAAAAATTTTCTATAGAAAAGTTGCTTTAAAAAATCATATTAATCCATTTTTGAAATTTAAAATAGTTAATACTCAATTAATCATGCGCTAATGGCTCATCTCGTTTTGCGTATCTTCTCAATCTTCTCAATCCCCCTCTCCTCAAACTCTCTCTTATACTTCTATGTATTTATACTAAATTTTTGAATAAAACGAATTTTCAAACTGTTATGTAAAAGTTCAATGATACTCCGTATCATACATTTTTTTGTTAGAGGAAGTAGTATATATTTTTTAAAACAAAGGGAACATTACTAAAATGATTATGTCAGCGCCTCTCGCTCATCCCAATCTCCGCATCCAGATCGCAGCCAACCATTCTTTCTTGTATTCTGTGCGTGGTCGACTGGTCGATCAGCTGTCAGTGAGTCAGTTTGTCACTCAGTACAAGTTTGTTTGAATGTGTCAAAGTCAACTTCCATGTGAGAGCCTCGAAGTAGTCGTCTCTGTGATGTCAATTCTTCTAGCTGTAACTATATTATACTTCATTCATCATTAGTACTGGTCAGAAGTGCAACTAAGAGTTAATTACTCCATACTCATCTTAAAATAAGACAACTATTTTTTCCGATGTTTCATAATATAATATGCGTACATATACATGTAAATAATTAACATATCTCTTTTTTTCTAAATTTGTTTCTAAATCTTCCGCATTTAATATCTCTTATATATATAGAGAGAGATTACATGGAAACTACACACGATACCACACCATACACCCACGAAACCAGCAGAATATCCACGATCTAGCCCACTTACCTTTGGGTAATATTTATGGCCTCAGGGTTTAAAATATAGTAGGTGGAGTCGTGCACCCACCAGTCTTACCGGTGCTTCTCGCTTAACATCTCTTGTATTGGTGCATGCATTGTACATATTCATTGAGGTGATCCAAACAAAATATAAATAATAATTTTTTCTTGATATCTATATCAATGGTAGTTACGTCTTATATTTTAAGATAGAGTATGTAACTCTTCTCTCCTGGACTATCCAGACCTTAATATGATTATGATTAGTTAAACTCAGTGTTGTGAATTCTCACTGGCCAAGAACAGTGAAAGAACAAAATTTTGAGCTATCAGGGAGCGAGTAGCGCTCTTGATATAAAGACAATACAACATTGGTTTAGAACTTAATTTGAACTTTGGGACTTTGTTTAGATCATATACTTTCAGTTCCATTTTATATCAACTCATTGTTTGATGGTAGATTAGCACATAATAAGTAATACACATGCTTGCAACTATTTAGATATACATATATGTAATAAATCTAGGCTGTTTATTTTATCGGTCAAACAATACTACTTAGTTAGGATATACTGTGCCATGTAAACTCTAAACACAAGAGAAAAATTAGAATGTGAGTTCGTTCATTAAATTATTTCTGGAAGTACATGAGCTTTGTGTCATTGCTACAGTTCTTTAGGCCTCAACTTGATCCCTAGCTAAATTAATGAAGATGCCAACTAAAAGACTAACGTGGATGCTGTTAAGAAACTAGTATTGCTTATGGCCTCAAGCACTATAAATACCCATGCAGTCCTTCACCCAACACTCATCGTTTCTTGCACTCATAGCTCATAGAGTTAGCTAACAATGGCACGCACTAAGCTTGCAGCTCTTGGGTTCGTTGTTCTTTTAAGCATTGGACTAGCCAGTGCTGCAAGAGTAGAAAGATATTCTAGTTCCCAAGGTTCCGGCACAGGAAGTGGACAGGGAGGAGGATATGTGAATGGTGGGGGAGCGGGGGAAGGAATTGGGGCCGGGTCCGGTAGCAGTAACCGTTATGGTGCTCATGCAAGTGGCGGAGGCGGAGGTGGTGGTGGCGGTTACAGCCAATACGGTGGATCGGGATCTGGTAGCGGATATGGCACGGGCTCAGGCTCTAGCCAGACCTCTCAAAATAGATATTATAGTTATGGCGGGTCATCCAGTGCTGGGGGTGCTGGTGCTGGTGGCGGCGCTGGACAAGCTGGTGGTTATTGGCCATCCAATGGTCAGGGGTCTGGTAGTGGTACGGGTTCTGGCTCTAGCTACGCTGATAATAATTACTATGGAGGACCATACGCAAATGCTAATGCTGGTGGCAATGGTGGTGGTAACGGTCAAGGCCAATATGGTGGCCGTGGCATTGGCGCAGGTGTTGGATCGGGATACGGTGACGCCAACCCTTAATTTCCTTCGTAAAGGAAATTCTAGAAATGAGCCCAACACACCTTTGTTTGTTGTCATGTCTACGATGTACAATTTGTTCTCATTTATTTGTACCTGTTCAATGTATTATGCAACAATAAATAAAGGGCTTCATTGATTCAACAAAATTCAGTAGTGCGTAACTAACCAATATCGAGATCTCGCTACTATGTTAAGAGTGTCATGTCACTCGATAATTCTATGGTGATATGGATGAAATCGGTCTAGCCCATGAACGTGGACTATTTAAGTGGGCTAGAATAAGCTTAACTCGTTCAAATAAAATATGGGACAGATCTAATTCACATCCCTTAACCGTAAAACCAGGTAATATCGACTGCTCTAAGTATTAAAACCTTGCAAAATGACTCCCTCATCTCTTTTAAGGGTGGTTTTTTTTGCTGACATGGCATATTGATTTATTTCACACGTGATGCTTTGGCATCTACACCTATGTGGCAATCATATCAGAAACAAAAACCAAATAAGTAGCTATAGGACCTACATGTAAGGGACATGCGAAAATAAAATAGAATCTGTGTATGTCAGCTTCCAGTCTCCAGGAGCCAAGTTTTCTCGTTGACCCCCGATTTTTTTTTTACTAAATCAACGAGGTGGGGGGGGGGCTTCCTCACCTGAATTTGTCATTTCATTGAAGGGAAGAGTGTAAGGTTCATTACATCGAGTTTAGAGTTTGTAGGGGAAGAGAAGATTTCTTTCCAAATAGAAATTACATGGCGATCTTTAGTCTTGATGTTTTCAGCCCACATAGCAGCCTCACACACATAGTGTTGTAGACATGATGCAATCGAGGGGACTTGTCCTCTGAAGACAACATCAAGTCTATGATTCCACATTGTCCAGAAGCAAAGGAGGTAGAAAACCTGAAAATGTAGAATAGACTTCAGCTGATGAAACAAGTTCACATGTGAGCCTCTTTGGATCCCTCCATGGCTCTTGTATTATCGATTCTGCTCCCGCGCGATTGATTGCTCCATGACCACCCCCGATTGATTGCATTGCGAGTACTTGCAATGGAGCTAGCGTTAATTTAGCAGGTTTTGCAGCTAGCCCTGTTGCGCATTACAGTGGAATCAAGTTTTAGTCTTTTCTGGTATGAAAGAAAACCCAATCCTGTTATGTCAATGGAAGCCCTTAATTAAATGTTGCCCCAAATCATATCTCTATTGTATAATTTGAGTGTCGCTTGTTCGCCTGCATATATATAATGCCAGAGTTATATAGTTCTGGCAGCTATATTACCAGCTCGTATGCAATTTAATGTCGCCTTTCGTCTGCCGCATGCGAGAGGTCGGCATTGGTGAGGCGTAGGTGGCCGCCACCGGCATGGAAGAAGAACGGCGACATCGGCAAGAAAGAGGCTACGGGGCAGAGGAGAGAGAGAGAAGGGGGGGATGGGGAAGAAGGGGAGATACTGGCATGTGGGTCATGTGGGTCCTATGTGGTTTTTACTCCCTCCGTCCAAGATTATAAGGGTTATTCCCTATGTAGCACTAATTAGAGAATAAAAGTGGATCAATGGACATATAGAAGTACACATTGGAACATTCAACGAACTGCAAAATGTACTATTTAGAGAATAAAGTGTTGCTTTGGCAGGTTGGGAATGAACTTAGAAAATCTGACGTGAGTTTTTGTCAGAGCATATTTTCCACCACATCTGCATTGTTTGTGCCACTTACAGAGTCACAATTTGAAACTCAAATTTTAAACATGCTGCCCAAAATTAAACAGCACTACTACGAATAACCATGAGCTTGTCAGATGAGTTGATCGCTGCTGTACCTAGCTCATTGGGATAAGCAAAATCCCCTATAATTAGGGACAACACAAAGGGCCGTTATCCCTTATAATATTGGACAGAGGGAGTATTTCCTTTTGAAATATAATACTTCGCAAGTCTCAATGACATGTGGGTTCCATTGTTGCTTCTATTTTTTGTTTTTGTTTTTAGTGCCACATAAGTGCTATGTCAGATGAAGATCAGGTCAACCATGCCATCTCGGCGTTATGTCAATATAAACCACTCTTAAACAATCGAGGGAGTTGTTTTACACGGTTTTGATACTTAGAGGAATTGCTATATCTTTTTGCGGTTGATGGATACGAATTAGATTCAACCTATATTCGAGGGAGTTACATTGGACTTTTTCCATCCCACTTAACCAAGTCCGCAGTTGATTGTCAAGTCTCACATGGATGAAAATTACCCAAGGCTATTTAGCTAAGCCCAACGTGAGCTCCAATCGACATATACCCGCCAGCACGATCGTGTCTTAATGTCACTAGTTTTCTTCAATATATGGGCCTGTTCACTTTGATGTCATTTTCAACCTTACCAAATTTTAGTAAAGTTGCCAAAAAAGTGGCTACATTTAGTTTGCTACCAAATTTAGTAACTATATAAGAAATTCTACCAAAATTTTGGCAAAACTATGCCAAAATTTTGGCAAAAATTTGGTAAGGTTTTTTTTTTTCATCAAAGTGAACATGCCCTATATCTCTCGGAGGGATTAAGAGAGATGTACATAATGGCAGTGTTACTAACAAGGTATAGCTTCAAACTACGTAAATTATGAGAAACTATCGAACATGTTCGATAGTTTATCTCATAATCTCTGCCAGAAATCAGAAATGCTTAAATTTTAGGAGGGATTATGAGATAAACTATCGAACATGTCCGAATTATAGCTTCAAACCGATGCTCATATGGACTTAAGTAAGTTTTGCTAAGTGCTCGAGAGGTTTCTAGATGTGAACTAAACTAATTGCAACTCTTTGAGCTATGCTAAGGATTTAATTTACCGCATGAGGGCAACTCGTTTGTTAGAACCTGCAGATCGATGGTAATTGTCAAACTGATGTAGTTAAGTCCATCTTGATAAGCCACTGCATAGAACTACGCAAATTAAACATGAAGCCCCAAAATTAAAGCCTAGCTAGCACAAAGGATGAAGCTAGCATTTCCTGGGGTGTATTAGAAAAGTTTCATGCAAACTCATTAATTTTCTGAGCCACCTTGTAATCTGCCTAGCAAGTGTTTAGCTCGGTTGCCATGTAGATATTAGGAGAAAACGTACTTACACTATGGAGATTAGGCTAAGCACTTCAGTAATGCCATCGAGCTTAATCACATGAATTGATTATATATAACAGCAAACAAGCTTAATCACATACCGTAGAAAATGGTATAAACTGATGTACGTATGATCAAGTTGTTTTCCTCTTAACTCATCAATGTATCATGTTATTAATCTCAATTCTCAAGACGATCGATCTAGGGCATGTTAATTTTGAATGGATATATACAGATGTAATGAAGCACATCGAACGGACATGTTAGAGGTAATGGACAGAGCTGGCCATATAGCAAACTACTGGAGCTAAATAGATCCTGTGGTTCTTAGTTGGATCTTGACTTCTCACATGCAGACACATTATGTAAGTGCTAATCGATCAACTGATTACTACTACCTCCGTTTCACAATGTAAGTCATTCTAACATTTCCCACATTCGTATTGATGTTAATGAATCTATATATATATATATATATAGATTCATTAACATCAATACGAATGTGGGAAATGCTGGAATGACTTACATTGTGAAACGGAGAAAGTACTTACCAGCATAATAGTATAAGATTATCTTGCATTGTGGAAGTTTCGAGATTTGAAAGAAGAATGGTGTCTACTACTAGTACTATTAATATACTCCTCCATCTCAAAATATATCACGCTAGTACTAGTTGAGACATACTACTCTGTCAAAAAAAAAAAGGCAAACTCTAGCTACGAATTTGGACACGTATATATCCAAATTCGTATGTAGGATTAGACTTTCTTTTCGAACAGAGGGGTATATATCATAAGACTTATAGTACGTACTAGGATATATATGTTTCATCCGGTACTAGGTTGATATGTGTAGTACTGTACTGTAACACAGGGCATACTTGGATGTTTTGCTGACATTTCTGATTGTTCAGAATGCATACAGTTTCAGTAATCATTAATACTGGGTCGATAGAGATTTGAAGCAATATTACTGATTTTTCACAGCTAATTAGGACTGATCTACTGGCTATAGTGATATTATTGCAAAGTACTACAGCGATTTCTTTAGTTTGCTTCCAGACCATCGATCTGCAATTTCCGTTTCTTTTACCTAGTGGTACCAATGTACATTCTATACAAATATCTATATATATCGCAATCCATGAACATTATTAGTAAAACGATTATGTCAGCGCGTCTCGCTCGTCCCAATATAATCTCCTCGGGCAGATCATGCAGCAGCAGCCATATGCATATTCATCGGCTGTGTGTTGTTTCTTGTATCCTGTGCGTGGTCGGGTTAATTTGTCAGTCTGTCACTTACAAACTGCGTTTGAATGTTTCAAAGTCAGAGCTGCAAAAGCGATGGGATCGAGAGCCTCGAAGTCGTCGTCTCTCAGTATTGTCAATTCTTCTGCTAGCTGTGTAACAATATTCATCTGTAATAGTAGCAGATGCTTGTGCTGCTTTGCGCAAGTCACACTGACACACTAAGAGTTAATTAAACTCTTCACTCTCGTAGGCGATCTCGATCTTAACATGCTCATGACTAGCTTAACTCAGTTATACTACTCTCTCTCAAAACAAAAAAAAAAAAAGTAAACTCTAGCTACGAATCTGAACACATGCATGTCCAGTTTTATAGGTAGGATTGTACTTTTTTTTTTTTTGGGACGGAGGGGTAGGTGTTTGAATTCTCACCCAGAGCCGTGAAAGAACAAAATTTTGAGATATACTGGGAGCTCTCTTGATTCAAACATATAACTATATATTTTGGTATATATAACATTGGTTGAGAACTTAATTTAATTTGGGAGTTTGTTTACTGCACATAGAGAAGCTAGAACTATATATTTTGAGTTCCATTTTCTATCAACTCATTTTTTTGTGATAGATTAGCGCATAGTAAATAATATAATACAAATGCTTGCAATTATTTAGATATGTAATTTAGTTAGGATATATATATTTCATATAAACTCTACACAAGAGGATGATATGGTTAAATTATTTCTGGTAGTAAATGAGCTTTGTCCTTGCTACCGTTCTTAATTTAAGCCTCAACTTGATCCATAACTAAGATGTCAACTACGAAAAAACTAACGTGGATGCTGTTAAAAAGCTAGTTGTACATATGGCCTCAAGCACTATAAATACCCATGTACTCCTTCACCCAAAAATCATCTCCTCCTGCCCTCATAGTTCATAGAGTTTGCTAGCAATGGCAGGCACCAAGCTTGCAGCTCTTGGGTTCGTTGTCCTCTTGAGCATTGGACTAGCCAGTGCTGCAAGAGTAGAAAGATACTCCAGTTCCCAAGGTTCAGGTACAGGAGGTGGAGAGGGAGGAGGATATGTGAACGGAGGGGGAGCTGGGAAAGGAGTCGGGGCTGGTTCTGGTAGCAGTAACTCTTATGGTGCTCATGCAAGTGGTGGAGGTGGCGGCGGAGGTGGTGGTTACAGCCAATACGGTGGATCAGGATCTGGTAGCGGATACGGCACGGGCTCAGGCTCAAGCCAAACTTCACAAAATGGATACTATGGTTATGGTGGGTCATCCAGTGCTAGCGGTGCTGGTGTTGGTGGTGGTGCCGGACAAGCCGGTGGTTACTGGCCATCCAATGGTCATGGGTCCGGCAGTGGTACGGGCTATGGCTCTAGCACTGCTAATAACTACTACTATGGACCATATGCAAATGCAAATGCTGGTGGTAATGGTGGCGGTAATGGTCAAGGCCAATATGGTGGCAGTGGCGGTGGTGGAGGAGCTGGAGTTGGATCTGGTGACGCCAGCCCTTAATTTCCTTCGTAAAGGAAATTTTAAAAATGGAGCCCACTATGTTTCGTACCATGTCTATGAAGTAGAATTTGTTCTCATTTATTTGTACTTGTTTCATGTGTTGTGCAACAAGAAATAAAGGGCTTCATTGATTCAGTAAAATTTGGTAGCATGCGACTTACCATGACATTTATGCAAATATGTTGAGATGTTCATGTCGTTCGATTGGATAGTTATATGATGATGAGGATGAAAGGGAAGTTATTAGGGAACATTCATCACTCATGATATGTAAAAAATGGACTTTTTATAGTCGGACGGCTTAAGAGATCCGCCTGCAAAAATTGATCTTCACATGTGGCCGGCCATCGGACTCCTCCCTACACAACTATATACTCCCTCCATCCTAAAATATTTGACGCCGTTGATTTTTTAAAAAATGTTTGGCCGTTCGTCTTATTTAAAAAATTTAAGTAATTATAAATTCTTTTTCTATCATTTGATTTATTGTTAAATATATTTTATGTATACATATAGTTTTACACATTTCACAAAAGTTTTTGAATAAGACGAATGGTCAAACATGTTTAAAAAAGTCAATGGCATCAAACATTTAGGGAAGGAGGGAGTACTTCCTCTGTTTCATATTATAATACTTTCTAGCATTGCCTACATTCGTATATATGTAATATATATATATATATATATATATATATATATATGTCTAGATTTATTAATATATATATATATATATGAATGTGGGCAATGCTAGAAAGTCTTATAATATAAAACGGAAGTAGACAATAACTATGTAGGCGGGCAATCACGACCAAAATTAAATACAGTCTATCTATGAAAACTATGGCCTTCCAGTGAAAAATCGTTTGTCTAACTGTGGTTAATCCAACTCACAAGAGAATTATGGGCAACTCGGAGGAAAATAACTTTGCATCTATTAGAGAGTACAATTAATCCCCTCATTCTCCTTCAACCTCTCTCTCACGGAAATCTATTATTATATACTAAAAGTCCATTAAACTTCCTACAAACGCTCTCAATGCAAGCTGCCACGTGGTTTCCTCAAAACGCTCTCTTAAGTCGCCACGTGGCACAACAAAAGAGTTGAGAATCCCCTAGGGCCCGCACGTGCAGTGCATGGGTTATTTTCATAACGTGAACTAACGAAGATTAGTTCCATATATAATTGTGTATGGGAGGTAAGAGATTCGAAATTAATGTCAAAGCAAAATCTAATCACATATGGCAAGAATCTTGTGCAGCGCATGGATTTGTCATGAATAAACGAAGATTAGTTCCATAATTGTGTACACAAGGCAATATTTCAAATCTATCTCAAAGCAAGCTTGCTTAGTTTCATGAGGCAAGACTACATATATATACACCGGCTTGCATACATATATGTACACCTCACCAGCAACACCTTTCAATCCGTCTGCAACACACAATTTTGGTGGCTCCATCCTCCCGTCCTCTACAATAAGAGGTCTGCGGCAATTTGGACGAGTCATCCTTGCAATAAGAGGTCTGCGGCACCAGCCCAATAGCTGACGCCCGATCCATTAATTAAGGGAAATACTTTCTCCTTCCGTCCTAAAATATAAGAATCTAGGATTGAATATGATGTTTCATAGTACAACGCATCTGGATAGACTCCCTGTCATGATACATTATAATAGGAAACATCTCATTCAATCGTAGGTTATTATATTTGAGACGGAGGAAGTAGATAGGACATAGCCACTGGAAAGGAATCCTAGGTTATTATATTTGAGACGGACGGAGTAGATAGGACGTAGCCACCGGAAAGGAAGGGAGATAGAGAGAGCAGGGCGGGCAGGTCGACCTAGGAGATAACTATTTTTTTTCATGTACCTATTTTTTTCAACCATAAATTCATAAATTTTTTCACCGAGAGACCAAGTCATAATGTAAAAAATCATAATAACAACAAAAAAATGATATTTTAAATAAGATCCCGCGCAGTTCTTCCTAGTTAATCGAACAATGCCTCAAGTAGGCTAACACAAGCTAACCCAGTAGTATAAATGGTCTTTGCGTGTTTGCAGTCAGCCAGAGCTTCCATCGGTATACTCCGATTGACTTGTATAGTTATGTCTGAGTAATTGTATGTGGACTACCTTAATTTCTAAACTTATTCAAATATTTACGTGTTCTATGGTTGTAGTTACAACATTCAGCTGAAAACTCGTTGTTCACCTGTATGGCTCTAATTTGTGGGAATTACGTGTTGCTGGGTTAGAGCATCACCAACAGAATGTGTATAATCCAACCACAAAATTATTTACTGGGTTTTCTAAATTGAAAATAGGAAGTGGAAAAACTCCTCTCTCCAAGAGAAAACTTAAATTTAATTCCAAAAAAGTAAAAGTGTATTCTTCTATTAAACTACCAGCCAAAATATTTTTTTTCCATCGACCCCGCGTAAAAAAAGATTGCTCCTCCACTTGCATGATCTCCCCTCCCTACGCACAAAGAGAAAAACCTCGCAGGAAAGAGAGATTGGGGTCGGCAGGTGCGGCGTCGCTTTACCTTAAATGAAGAGAGAGCGAAGGATGGGGTTTCTAAAAAATTAGGATCAATATAGGATATCTGTTGGAGGCATGTTTTTTTTTACCAAAATCCCCCCAAAAAAAAAGGATTGAGGATAGAATAAGGGCATTGTTGGTGATACTCTTAGTCTGGTATAAGCCAGGAACCGGTGTTTCGAATAGTCAACTATGATATTTAATGATCAAACTTCTCAAATACCTATATCGGAAAATAACGTCAACTATAGCTACATATATAAAACCTTACACAAAACACAGTCTTGAAAAGCCTAAGACTGTTAGCTAGCCCAAGATAAGCTCCGACATAACAAATGGCTTTGCCATCCATTCTCTCTGGTATATGTTGTGGCACGTTTGCTCACCTACAAGTTATGCCCTCGTCTAACGAGTTTTTTCTTTAGTATATCTCTCAGAGGAAGTAAGAGATTTATATACTCTCTTCTCCTAAAATAAATTTATTTTTCAACCATTTCACACATATCAATAAAATAAAAAAAGACTAAAATACCCCTACTTTATCAACTCCCAATGCAATTCCCACTTTATCTACTGCCAATGCAATTATTCCTTAATTTCAAAAACCCCAATGCGATGATTATTTAAAGATAAATTTATCTTGGGATAAATGGGAGGTGCCAGAAATAAACTTATTACTATGAGATGGGGGAGTATATTATAGTGTTAGTAAGAAGATATTTACATATATCATCTGTCTTTATAGCGGCATTTCGATCAACTTTTAAAATAGTGTTTGAAACAACTCCAAAAGTACCTACAGACCTCCGATTTGGCTAACAGGTAACCTCATCATGTGCTTCTTGGCTTATAATTAAGCCACAATCAACATTTAAAATTTGAACTTAATTTTAAATTATCTTAGGTATTTTTTTTCAATTTTTCTAGTCATGGCTTTTGAACCACTAAAGGTTAAAACTAAATATAAAATTCTACAATTAAATTATTTTTTTATTTTATTTTTCTGCGGCTTATCCGCCGAGGCCAACCGAAGTGATACTAAGGTCATGGCGACCTCCCATGGGTTGGGTTGGACAGCATTGCGGCGGCCATAGGCATTGTCATGCAGTGGAAGGAAAGACTCTCACCTTATGAGCTCGAGCCGGCCCTGTTGCTGAAGAAGATAACGATGAAGCGATCGAGCAGCCTTAGGAACTAGGGGAAACTAAAATAACATAGAAAAGTTTGCCCCACCTCTCTGTAGGATCGTATATAAGAATCAAACCTACCAGATAAAGGTGAATGATAGAATCACCAAAAGCCAAATCTTTTTGGAATTAATAGATATCTTTGACCAAATTAAGCTTGAACCGACCATCATGTATGCGCCGGTCTGTCTGAAAGTTAGCTATTAATCCATCCAGCATGAAGTGAGTGGTCCATATATCCGACCAAGTCACAGCATCGTCCAATATCTAGTCCATCACTCCGTCCCCATTGCCGCTGCCGGCCTGTCCGCCTCGCCGGTCCATCTGAGCATTCCATGCCGAATCGACCCTTGAAATACATAAAAACATGTTTTAATGTAACTTTGAGAAGTAGATCAACTTATTGCATCAAGATGTGTTTACAAAGTGCATCTAAAGCACTTTTCTCTTAACTCACGAGCTAGAAATAAAACCTCAAGCAAACTTTTTTCTCCTAAACAACATTCATTTACAACTGCAAATTCTAACCTTTTAAAACTTGGACTCCAATATAAATTTAACTCCGCTTCCCACACGCACACAAATTCCCTTATATGACGTATGAAAACCTTCATCTTCTCATGCATTATTTTCTAGCCTTAGTATCCCATATGATCTCTTTGGCCATCTAAAACCTCAACTTCTCCCAATTCTAGTCCTCTGATCCCTCACCAGCGATACTCTTAGAGGGCTCAAGCAACACATGCACATAAACAACCAAAGAAACCATATCCGACTACAAGTTCTTGCCAACTTGACTCACATTATTAGCACACAATAGTATCACATACGTATAGACCATCGAGAAGTCGTAAGCATTAAGCAATCGCAAATATCCACGAAAAACAACTTAAAATCAATTCCCTCCTGGAGTCTGTCGGTCGAACCGTCGGGCCTGTCGGTCCGACCACCACAACACCTCTGGTCTGACTGACGTCACCTTGGTCCTATACTGACGAAACCCTATTCACCGACGAAACCCTATTCACCATAAGCCCGATCCAAACCGACCACACCCAGAAAGCAATATATATAACTTTGTCAATATCAACACAACCACTTACCTTCAATAATCGTTCATTCTTGGACACCTCAAAGACTTTGAAACACATGGTCTCAAATATAAAGTCAAAATTTCTCTCCTCATGGTTTGCAAGGATATTATACATATCAAAAAACCTGATCGAGTTGTAAATGTGCTAGCCGGGTCTCGATCCTGTCGGCGCGCGTGGTCGCCGCCGCTGCCGCAGTTTACTTCGCTTGCCATCGCGAGCTTCAGAATCTAATTAAAACAGCGAGCAATCGCCATACCAGTCGGTGATAATTCCAAGACGATCGCGATGAGAAGCAAGCAAATCTTCAGTTTAGAAGAATCGATCGATCGACCACTGAAAGAATTATAATCACGCAGGATCAAGGCCAACTTGAAGCAGCTCGATCGGCTCGCGCGCCGTAAGTTCTTGACTAGTTGTACTACATTCACATGATTATATACATTTTTTAGGTTAATCAATCTTGTACGGTTTGATTTAGTTCGTACTCGATCTATAATTATTGCAGGTTAATTATGTTTTGCTGGATATATACGGTTCCTGTACATGCAGTCAGTGGAGTGTGAGTATCACTACCGGTGGCTGATCAGATTGATCATCTGACAGAATGATGGTGTGGCATTCTGCATGGTAAACTATATGCTGTGATTGTGATGTAGTATTAAAATGATCAATGTCAGCTATATCTCGCTAATCTCTCCGCGTGTGCATCGGGCACCTGTATGATTATATCTTATAATATGTGTGCTCGAGTTGCCACCTTAATTTGAATGTACATGTCAAAGGCTTAAAATGTCATGGGCTGAGAGAGTTTTTCGAGGTCGCCTCTACAATGTCAACTACGACACCAGCAGGATTATATTCTTCAGTAGAGTGCTTTGTGTTAATTTGTGTAAAGCTAGTAATTAACTTGTACTGTACTATGCCTCAGCTGCTAGAGCTAGGGAGAGTCCATAGTATACTCCCTTTAATTATAGGGTATAGACAACACAAATCTGGTTTTAAGTAATTCTGAATCTAAATAGTATTTTGTTTACCTGCGTGAAACCTAGATAGTTATATAGAGATGTAAATAGTAGCTGTAATTTAAGAGTATCATATAACCTTTTTCTTTTTTTGCCTGCATTAAACCAGCACAGATCATGCATATATAAGATCAAAGAGGAGACGAGGTCCTGGGCGTTAGCGGACGATATTTGCCTCCTGGAGCTAACCCCTTTGATCGAATAAACCCTTTAATTGTATATTAATGAAAAAACCAATAATATAATGTGTATATTTATACACTTCGGTATCAATATATAAGGCATAACCTCTAGCCATCTGAAAAAATAGTTATAATTGAAATATATGTATTGTGATGCTGAAATGATGAAAACAACTATCAAAACCAGTTTGCATTGTCTATGGGGTGTATTTTGGCCGATTTTGATTGTTGGGCAGGGCGTAAACTATCTGTTTGATAATTAAGAGATATTTTCTAGACAAACTCGATCATAAAATATTTAAGATTTACCGTAAGATAGTCAAAAGTTTTAATATTTCTCATTAAAAACTTCTCAAATGTTTGTTCATATAAGAAATGTATAAAATATTGCCTTGCAAAATACTACATACCATATATCATAAATATCATAAAAAGTATTTGATCTTTTTATTTATTTTAAAATAAAATATTCTTGTTCGAAATATTATATACTCATGATCGGAGGAAGTTATATTTAAGACATAAACTAAAAGGAGATGTTAGCTTCGATGACACTTGCGACATGATGGACTTAATTAATGTGCTTCAGTGGTCTGCAAATGTGAAATAAATTACAACTATTTGAACTATGTGCTAAGGATTTGTATTAAAAATTAAAATTATAAATCAATAACTTAGTTAGCTAACTATGCTAGCTGAAGACTTGTGCATGCAGTTTACACCTTTTATCTCATAATGATGAAGTTCTATATATTTTGACAGAATTTTTTCATATGGCAATCAAGAAAGTAAGATCAATGCTAACTACTCCCTCCGTTTCACAATGTAAGTCATTTTAGCATTTCCCACATTTATATTGATGTTAATGAATCTAGACATATCTAGATTCATTAACATCAATATGAATGTGAAAAATATTAGAATGACTTACATTATGAAAGCAAGTTTCTTTTTCTAAATAGAAACACAATACAAACGTCCACAGACTTCCACAACACGTACACACTCATCCCCATGGATGCAACAGACGTACACCGTATTGCTATGAGCACCTTCGAAAGACTAGGCTGGTATATCTTGAGACTAATGAAGTTATCACAGACACCTCGATATAGGTGGATACTTCGCCTATCACTAAAACAATAATTAGCCGTAAATACGAGCACGCGTGTCAAGTTTCTAGTAGTATGCCACATATCTTAACACAGAATGTGTGATACCATAATGTGTATTTGTAGCTGGTAATACACTAGTAATTAAGTAGGATATATGTATTATCTAAACTCTAGGCACTAACTCTTTTTTTTTCAAAAGAAAGTCATATACACGTGCACATCCTCATCCCTGTGAACAAACACGTACATATACCCTGACATATTATTAGATTGACAAAATGTGTTCAATATATATCTCTTTGTTACTTCCATTGCATGATTCATCTTTAAGTAAATGCACTCTCCACTTGTGCAGTTTACTAAGCATCCCTAAGGAGGTTGCCAACTGGGTGCTATTAAGTTAAATAACTATTAATTGTGGCCTGTGCTCAGCCTTCTAGCACTATAAATACACATACAACCCTTTCATTACCAGTCATCTCCTCCCACACTCAGCTAGCTTGTTAGCTCACAATGGCAGGCACTAAACTCGTAGCTCTTGGTTTCATTGTTCTCTTGAGCATTGGATTAGCCAATGCTTCAAGAGTGGCAAGATACTCAAGTGCCCAAGGATCAGGCAGTGGTAGTGGAGAGGGGTCAGGATCTGTGAATGGTGGGGGATCCGGGGGCGGAAGTGGTACGGGATCTGGTCAGAGTGGTTATAATGGTGCACACGCAAGTGGTGGAGGCAGAGGGGGCGGCGGTGGCGGTAGCCAGTATGGTGGATCAGGGTCTGGTAGTGGGTCAGGCTCGGGCTCAGGCTCTAGTCAGTATAGTTCAAATTATTATGGCTCTGGTGGTGAATATTCTAGTGCAGGCGGTAGCGGTGGCGGTGGTGGCGGAGGACAAGGCAATGGAAATTATGGGTCAACTGGACAAGGATCTGGTAGCGGTACTGGTTCTGGCTATAGTGACGCTAATTCTAACTACTGGCGTGGACCAAGTTATGCAAATGCAAATGCTGGTGGCTATGGTAATGGTAATGGCTATGGACAAAATGGTGGTAGCGGTGGCGGCGGAGGTTCAGGGAGTGGCTATGGTGATGCCAATCCTTAATTTCCTTTATACTGGAAATTATGAAAACTTGAAGCCCAACCTAGTCCGTGCCATGTCAATGTTGTGAAATTTGTTTTTCTTTTTTTTTTCACACCTGTTTTATGCATCACGTTTCAAGAAATAAAGGGCTTCATGTAAAGTTTCTGCCAATGCAGTAACATGTAACAAATTAGGAGAGATATTGCATAACTGTGGTGAAAATTATATTATTTAACCAATCTGATCACTTGTTGTGAACCATTTGCTCCAATAATTTAGGGGCAAGTTCTTGGCTGATATCTATAATGATATTACGTGGTTTTCGTAAACTTGAGCAAATTAACAAACACTAGTCGCATATATGGCTCAACCCAAAGAGTGCCATCTAAAATTGAATGATGAGGTGGAGGTTTGATTGGGTAAGGGTTGTGGTTGGGGACTTCATTTGAATCGACCATAGGCTTTAATAAAGATCATTGGTCTTGCCTCCATAGGGTTTTCTCCATGTCCTATTAAGCTTAAAGATCAATATTAGGACTCAAGAATCATTGGGCCCAAGCAAGGAAACAGGAGAATAGCCATTACCATTAACTGCTGAGACAAGAATCATTGTATGACTCGGACTCGGAGCTACGTATCTGACCGGATGTATACCTTCGCTCAGACCGTAGTTCACCACAGTCGTACTCCGTGTAATCCTGTTGATGTTTGCATTCTCACCAGACAGGAGTGAAAGAACGATATTTTGGAGCTATAAGAAGGTCATGATTTATACTCCTGATTATACGAAGGATGTTTAGAACTACTTGTATGACGTAAACATTTTTGGCAATATAGAAGTGCTATATTCTTTAAGTTAGTCCGAGTAAATTTACGCTGCTTGAGATGTTACCGGAGAGTGCGATCGTTTCTAATGCTAAATTTATTGTGTGCCTAGTATAGCAGCACTGGAGAAATAAATAAATTTAACAGTAAAAAAAATATGGACATCGTTTTACATCCCATCATTGAGGAATATATATAAGAGAACCCTTTGAGAGTGTCATTTCACTTTTTATTACTGGCAATTATTGTAGTAGATTGAAATACATTTGAAAGGAAGTGATAGAAGGAAGGAGTAATATATATATATATCATCCAAACTCACCATAAGTGGTACGTGTTGCCGAGCAGAAGGAAAGAGTCGTGTTATGGGCATGAGCGCATCAGTGCAGAAGATAACGCCTAGGCAATCAGCAGAGCCTTTGGAAGAGTTGATAGTGTTGGGACTGCTACAGGAGAGGTTTTTCCTCTACTTGTCTTGCGACTTTAAATAGAAAGGAAGTTTTTTGAGTCAGAAAAACCGTCGCAAGTTTTTTTAGTCAAAAACTTTCAAACGTAACTATAGTACAATTTAAGTATAATTATATTATAACTACACTGTAACTGCAATGTAACTATCCTATAACTATGATATAACTTATATTAAACTTATACGTGAAATGGTTTGGTTAGCTAGCACACTGGGATCTTATGCATGACATGTGTGAGAAGTTCTTTTTAGCACTTTTTTCCCTTCATGCGCAAATCTTGAAATGATCTGATGGTCACAAATCTCAAAGTTTTGGGGGAAGAAAACTTGCATAAGTTTTCTAACAAATCGGAAATGGGATTTGTGAACTTTGTATTAGCAAAGATGCTAAAAAACACATGGTCTCAACTCTCAAAACGAAGTCAAATTTTCTCCTCCTGACTGCAAAGTATCTCGTGCGTATATAAATCCGGGTCCTAATTTTGTAAAGTAGCTTTTGGGTCTCCGTCCTGTCGGCGCACGCCAGAGTCGCCACAGTTTACTTAGCTTGTGATCGCGAGATTGGAGTCTAAAACCGTGAGCGATCGCCATCATCGTAATTAATGGTATAACGATCGACTCGGTGATAGTTCCAAGACGTACGATCGCGATGAATTTCGAGCAAGCAAATCTTCACTTCGAAGATCAACCTCTGCACATCTTCAAAAAAAAAAAAAAAGAGTGAGATCGATCGACCTCTTCAAGGATACGCATAGGACTCGATCATGGCCAACTTGAAGCAACTCGATCGGATTGCACGCCGTACGTTCTTGACTAGTACTTTCATTTTCACATGATCATTAGTACTATTTTATAACCAATCATGTATGGCCTGATTTAATTAAACGTTAAAACTCATTATTGCAGGTGAATTACCCTATTTTGCTGGATATGTACATTTCCTGAGCTACCGGCGGCTGGTCAAATCGATCGGCATCTGACAGAATGATGGCGTGGCATTCTTCATGTTCAACTCTACAGTAAAATATTAAAATGATCATGTCAGCTGTCTCGCTTATCCCAATCTCCGCGTGCATTGGGTTTCTTTGCATGCTTTGTATATATAAAATATGTGCATGTGATGATCAGAGATACTAGTAGAGAAAAGGTCTTTCCTCCCGGTTCGCGGAAACCCCCTATACTCCCGGTTTTGCAACCGGGAGGACGAATCCGGGACTAAATATACCCATCTTTAGTCCCGGGTGAAATAACAGGAATTAAAAATCCATCTTTAGTCCCGGTTGGTACTAAAGATGGATAGGGCCACGTCACGGCTGTTTTTTTTTTTTTTGCTGCTGGTATCTATTCCTCCACCCTAAATCCACTCAATTCATCCACAAATCATCAATCATGCACAATAAAATTATCCACAAATCAACACAACAAAATCATCAATAATACATACACATCCACAATCCACAAATCTTGTGAGACCATTCCCAAATCGACAAAATATACAAATAATTCATCATTCACTACAAAAATTCAAAAAATAAAAAAAAATCAAGTAGCAGTCGCCGTCGCCCGGCCGTGGGCCGCCGGCTGCCTTGCGCCAGCCGTCGCGAAGGCCACCGAAGCCCGGCCGTCGCGCGGGCCGTTGCCGCCGGCCGCCTTGCGTCCGGCCACCGCCGCGCGGGCCATCGCCGCCGGCCGCCTTGCGCCCGGCCGCCGAGCGGGCCACCACCACCGACCATCATGCGCCCGGTCCTATGCGCATGCCTCCGCCGCCAGGGGCGGCCCTCCGTGCGCGACGGCCGCCACCGATGCCCGAATGGCTCCCACCGCCGGAGGGGAGGGGAGGAGGGGGAGAGGGGGAGAGAAGGGGGATGAGAGGAGGAGGAGGAGGAGATGGGGAAGAAATGTGATAAGAATGAGGGGTGAGTTGGAGAAGAGAGAAGAGATAAGGGGCGGGGAGGACGAGGCGGGGCAGTTCGCTGATTTTTTTTCCCGGATCTTTAGTCCCGGTTGATAACACCAACCGGGACTAAAGATAATTGAGGGGTCTGACATAGCCTGTCTTCTTTTAAACCGGGACTAAAAATGATCTTTAGTCCCGGTTGGTAACATCAACCGGGACTAAAGATCAAAAAGTGACGTCAGATCTTTCAACCCATCTTTAGTCCCGGTTCCTATTTAAACCGGGATTATTGTGGATTTTGGGCAACCGACCAAAGATGGTTTCTCCAGTAGTGAGAGTTGCCACATTTGAACGTACGTGTTAAAGGCCAAATGTGTCGTGGGTCTGAGGGTCCGTTTAGAAAAGTTTCTAGCAGCTGTATTTTCTTCTAGAATCTTCAGTTCTCCCAAATAGTTCAGGTTATTACCCGGATTCTGAAAAACCGTGGTTGTAAAATCCAGAAAATGAATTAGAACTTACAAGTTAGAAAACCCAGCTTTTCTACATTTCCAGAAGCTAACTACCAAAACCAATAGATTCTCAAAAAATCTTAAGCTCGTCAGACAGGACGTGCGAGAGCTTCGATCGAGGTCTCCTCTACAATGTCAACTATGATGTATACCAGCACCAGCTGCAGGTTTTGTGTTCAGTAGAATAGAATGCTTATGTCGATTTGTACAAGCTACAATTAACTAGCCTGCACTTATCCCTCGATCGGTATGATCGATCGGTTGACTGTTCGAATTAATATTTTACCTGGTGTGTTTGATTTGATCAATACGATTTCCTGAATGTGTGCAATGGATTGGAGTATATTTCCCGTCATTTTTGCACTCTGTCTACTTCACATATCCTAATGTTGCAAGGGCAAAAAGACAGCTGAAGTGTATTGCTGTATATATATGCCCATATCTAAATTCTAACGAGGTAAAGAAAAGAGAAAATATAAGCAATGATCTATATTAAATTAAACGAGACAATTCCCATATACATAGATACATGCAAAACACCATTATAGATATTTGGCATTTAAGATATGATTCGCTCAAATATTGACTTATATTAGAATATAAAATCTAAAGAAATATAAGTACTATGATAGTACTTTTGAAGGCAAACATATGCATTTTTCTCTTGTAGCTGAGCTTCCAGAAATTATCGATGCTCAAATTAAACTTTAAAACATCTGAGCAAATTACACAAAAAAAACGTCCAATTTTTATGGCCAGAGGAAGAATTGCGTTATCACAAGTTAAGTAGGAGATGTGATAATAAATTTGGGCTACAATCATGACGTAGCGCTTTGTTGGAGAGTTTTGTTGCTAGTGTGCTCTCTAGAGATAACATTTAGGAGAAACCATCCCACATGACATTATAAAATAATGCAAATTTAACAGAAAGTGTGAGATATTTGCAAACAAGGTACAATATGCTTAATGAGGGTGCATGACCTACCTTGCTCGGGTGCTACTAGAACCTTTGCAACCACTTCGTAGTAAACGAGAGCTTCGGAACCAATGGAATCTATGCAACAAACAAAGCACACAAAGCAACCAGGCTATAAGTCTACTGAAATAGGGAACAAAAGCATTTTTAATGGATTCTAGGTATTTTTATAAATTTATTACAATTTGAATGGACTTAAACGGAGCTCAGATGAATATATTACAAATTTTAGAAGATTCACTATGATTTTTACTATTAATAAAAAAACCTTAGTGATTTATTGCGCATTAAAAAAGGGGGCTAACATCAGCGAAGGGGGGACTAGGCGCCCGCAAGAGGGCCCCGCCTATCGGCAACATGGAGCGGCTGGTCCACCATTGACCGGTACCACCAAGGTGGTCCACCGCCAGTCCATGATGATAGAGGGCATGATCAGTCCAAGGACGATCAGGTGGCGCGGAGCGGGTGGCCGGGTCATGGGTGCGGCTCAATGCCAGCCCGGGCGAGTGACGGCGTGGCCATCGGCGGTGATGCGGGAAGCGGCGGTTGGCGACGCACGCGAAGAAAGAGCAAAAAAGAGGGGAAGGAGCTCACTGAGATGATAGCGGCCGGTGCGGGGAAGAAGACAACGGCGGCGACCTGGCAGGTGAGAGGGAGGACAGGCATCGACAACACCTAAGGAAGGAGGGGAAAGGGATTATAGAGAGAAAGAGGGTGCACAGTGATGGGCATTGCAAGCCGGAGGACGGGAAGGAGGAAGAACTCACCGGCGAGCGAGGGGAATGGGTTTCAGGTGGAGCGGCATCCAAGTGGCGGCCAGGATGCTCCTCGGCCTTGCGAGGCCGATGGCAGCAACGGTGCTACCCGACGGTGGCTTGAGCAACAGCGAGCGGCGGCGGAGATGCGGCAGCACTAGGTGAGACGGTGCGAGAGCAGAGGAATGAGCAGGGAGCAGTGGCGATGGGGAAAAGGGAGAGCGGAGCTCGGGGGAGCTTTTTATAGCCTCGAGGGAGCACAGATGTGGCCGGGGTGAGCCCGAAATGGCCGGAGACATGGGGGGATAGGTGGGCCCCACCTGTCAATGTCCCCAGAGAGGAGGTGGCGCAGTGGCTTGCGGGCCGCGGGGCCTTTGGCCGGCCCAACAGCAGGGAGGGGAGGCGCGGACGCGAGGGGGCCAGCGGGGAGGATTGGGCCAAAAGCGGCCGAATCGGGCGAGAAAGAAAAATAAAGGAGATTTGGATTTATTTAATTCCGGTAATCAATTTTGAATTATTAAAATTACTTTGTTCTGAAATTTCCACTAAAAATCCAGTTAATGTATTTCAGTATGGGGAACTCAAGAAGTATCCCACCAAGCCAATTCCATTTATTAAATGAGATTATTAATTAGGGATTAGCGCTAGGTTAAATTAAATAATTTCTTTTAGGCAATTTATTGAATGAATTTAAAGGCTAGCTAGGAAGGGGAACCTTCTGGGGGTGTGACAATGTGCCTTCTGTGATGACCATGGCCGACGGTGGTTCACGGCTAAGCTCATCTCTCCTGATCCTTCTCTCTCTTTATCTGTGATGTTTGTTGGCGATGTCGATGTGGTAATTAATGTTGATGCAAATATAAGTTTGTTTGATGTTGGTCACTTGTGATTGTTGGTGATTGTAAGATAATGTTGATGAACTTTTGATTGGGGTGATTAATTTGTCTTTGATGCCACATAATTTGTACTGCAGCAATCATATTTGTTTGTTCTATAAACATGCATTAGTGCCGGTTGGTTGGACAAACTAGTTTGAAAACCGGCAGCGATGCCAGTTACGAACTGGCAAGGTTTAGCTTTTTTTTTACTAGTGTTTCCTCCAATCGAATCATGCATGTACTTATTCGTAGGACTGTCTCCACGCAATAAAAAGAATGACAAATTTGTAGCACACATGCATAATGACGCACATTGAAAAAGTTCATGTGTAGAACAAGTATTTTTCATTATGATAAATAACCGAGTAAAGTGACACAATCTACCAAGTACAGGGGTACATCTTCGAAAGCAACAGAGCCCTTTATTTGTAGCTACCAAGTAGACATAACAAGTACGATAAAAATACACGGATTCAACACTATTAGTTGGGCTCCAACTTTGAACTGATTGAATAAAGGTAATTATGGAGAGGCATTACCATACCCAGACCCACCTCCTGCACCACTACCATTCCCGCCATTTTCACCATTGCCATTGCCTCCACCATTACCACTAGCACCCGCTCCCGCACTTGACCCATACCAATTATTATTAGCATTGCTATAACCAGAGCCAGATCCACTACCAGATCCACTACCAGTTGAACCATATCCTCCAGCCTGTCCTTGTCCTCCTCCACCGCCACCACCACCGGCATCGGACTCACCACCATAACCTCCTTCCCCATTGCTAGTCTGACTAGAGCTTGAGCCTGAGCCATTTCCAGAACCATATGCCGATCCACCATATTGGCTAGAACCACCGCCGCCGCCGCTCCCTCCAGCAGTTGCATGGGCACCATTACTACCACCCTGACTGACGCCATAACCGCTCCCAGACCCTGCGGCACCACCATTGTCATACGCAGTACCCCCTCCCCCTCCGCTGCCATTTCCGTCGGAACTCGAGTATCTAGACACCCTTGCGGCATTGGCCAGTCCCATGCTCAAGAGAACAACGAAGCCAAGAGCTACTAGCTTAGTGCTAGCCATTGTGAAACTACTTGCTATGGTACTTTGGATGTGATGAGTTGTGAGTGCTAAGGAGAAGATTACTGGCGTATTTATAGTGCCCGAGGCCATGCAGCTGGTCTATATCCTAATGGCATGTTGGTGGAGTGATAGGCTGTCAAGTACTACTATTAGGAAATCAAGACACTGGAGACTTAAAGAGCATAGACTTGTAATGGTGCCTATTGACCTCACTGTATCATGTCAGCAGTGAAGAGATTGCCCACTTACAATAGTTCACAAAAATGATAGCACATGAGTTTATTTTGTCATATTTTATGAAGATTTATTTTCTTAAGTAATTACTAGTAATTTTTTCACAGGTAGTCACTAGTAATTTTAATGTATAAATCTTTGCCATCCCTTTTACAGATTAAGTTAATTTAACTGTAAATTAAACGAAAACGTAGCTAGCCATTGTTGTAATCTCTTATATATAGAGCAAGTAGCTAAACGCCTGTGTTTTTCTATGGGTCGAATAAAATATATCTTAATTAATTATGGGTTATCTATAAATTAAGAGAAAATCCATAAAATGCCATCGACAAGCACCCTAATCCCAGAAATGCCATCGACAAACGCAACTTCTTGAAAATGCCATTGTACAAGCCCATTTCTCCCAGAAATGCCATCACACCGTTAGTCCACACCGTTAGAACAAATTTTTTTACAAGAATGACCAAATTACCCTCACTCCAAATAATCCTATCCTAAACCATAGGTAAAGGAGGAGGCCGCCTGCCACTCCTCGCCGCCCGTCGTTTCGACACTTGGGACGACGCCTGCTGCCGACGCGCCGCCGCCTGTGACCACCGCGCCTGCGGCCAACGCTCCGCCGCCTGGGGCCGCCGCGGATCATGGACGAGAAGGTGCTGGAGTTGGTGTTCTGGGCGCTGAACTGGGACCGCGGGCGCTGTGCGTGGTGGCTAGGGTGAGCCGGCGGCTGCGGGCAGTGGCGGAGCGGCTGCTGTGGCGGGCGGCCCACCGCGTCCGACGATGTCGTGGACGCATGCCACGGGCTCATGCGGTCGCGGACGCCCGCGTTCCTCGTCATCCACCGCGCCGCGCTCGAGCCGCGCGTCGGTGGCGGTGGCCGTGCCGGAGTACAGGGAGCTAGGCGCTGCAGTTCACCAACTTTGCAGCGCCGCCGCTGCCGGCGACGGACGCGGACATGGCGTGCTCGCCGCACGCGGCGGTGCACGTGGCCATGACGCTGGACGCGTCATACCTGAGGGGCACCATAGCCGCGGTGCTCTCCGTCCTCCGCCATGCCTCCTGCCCGGGGTCAGTCCACTTCCACTTCCTCGCCGTCTCTTCGGAGGCGGCGGTGAGGGAGCTGAGGGATACCGTCCGGGCGTCGTTCCCGTCGCTGGTGTTCCGGGTGTACCCGTTCGACGAGTCCTGCGTCGCGGGGCTCATCTTCACCTCCATCCGCGGCACGCTCGACCGCCCGCTCAACTACGACCGCTCCTACCTCGCCTCCACGCTCCCCTCCTGCGTCTGCCGCGTCGTCTACCTCGACTCCGACGTCGTCCTCACCGACGACATCGCCGCGCTCACCGTGACGCCGCTCCCGGGTGAGACGGCCGTGGCGGCGCCCAAGTATTGCGGCGCCAACTTCACTGCCTACTTCACGCCGGGGTTCTGGGCGTCGCTGGCGCTGTTCGAGGCGTTCGCGGGCGTCATGGTTCTCGACCTGTCCCGGTGATGCCGCGCCGGCTACATGGCGTAGATCGAGGAGTGGATAGAGCTGCAGAAGCGGGTGCGCATCTACGAGCTGGGCTCGCTGCCGCCGTTCCTCCTCGTGTTCGCCGGCCGCATCGCCGCGGTCGACCACCGCTGGAACCAGCACGACCTCGGCGGCGACAACTACTGCGGCCTGCACGCCGTCGCGGTCAGCCTCCTGCACTGGAGCAGCAAGGGGAAGCCATGGGACAGGCTCGACGCCGGCAGGCCATGCCCGCTCGACGCCATCTGGGCAAAGTACGATCGAGAGCTCGTGATCGACTGAGCTGCTCGCCTTTTTTTACCGATGGATTAGGATAGTATTATTTGGAGTGAGGGCAATTTGGTCATTTTTGTAAAATTTTTTGCTCTAACGGTGTGGACTAACGGTGTGATGGCATTTCTGGAAGAAATGAACTTGTACAATGGCATTTTCAGGAAGTTGTATTTGTCGATGGCATTTCTGGGATCAGGGTGTTTGTCAATGGCATTTCATGGATTTTCTCATAAATTAAAACTACGACACGAGTAGGTGATCGAGTAGATAGGGTGGAAAATTCATTCTTTTCATGGAGTACAGATATTATACATATATATTTCTCCCTGTGTGTTAGTTTTGTTCCTCAAATTAAAGGCTCAAATATATGTACACAATAAGTACATTTATGTAAGATTAACTTTCACATTTGGTTTGCTTTAGAATCTGTGAATTGAACTTTTATAAATGAGCAATTTTACGGTCCTTGAGGAGCTACCATGAGGTACCATTTTTTCTATTGTTAATTTGGTACCTCTTGGTACCTAGGTACTATGAGGTACCATGAGGTACCAAATTTTACACCTCCTCAAGGACCGTAGAATTGCTCTTTATAAATAGTATTGAAACAAACCGTACCCAAGCATATGTAATTGTAAATTATAGTTTGCTATTTATACTACTGGGATGGGAGACTCTACCTAGTGTCAAAAACACAGCAACAGGGCTAAAACACTCGGTAAGGCTGTTCCTCAGTGGTATACACTCTGCAATTTTCACCCGGTATCACCAAGAGCCATATATATAGCTTGGTTAATCACATTTCATGTCTTCAGAACTATACATATTTTTACAATGGAGAAGAGAGTTAATCTTTCCGGCCGGCCTTTGCATACAGTGCACATAACTAATAAATAAAAAGGAAAATAATTTGAGTTAGGACACAATAAAGAATAATAGTGAAAGCCTCACAAATGATATTTTTTCATGATATGGTTTCTCCTTTTGCAGCACATCTCCATGCACGGCCTGCCTAATTAATTAATTCATCTGTACGTGCTCTGTCAAGCACTAAGGTTACCCTTAATCTCTTGGAGATGAGTATCATCCAAACACACACATTTCACAAATTACTTTGACCATGTGTTTATTGAAGCTTCGGCGAAAGAGTGCAATCACGTGTTCATTTTTTAACACAAAAAAATTAATTACATGATCACATAGATATCATCTTCGATAACAGTGAAGTAAACGGGACGACCCTGACCAACTAAATGCAGTTTAATTATGAAATCAATGCAATCATCCAGAAAATCAACAAAAGATTCCCCATATAGTACATAACATACTCCCTCCGTTTAAGATGCATGGATGTCGTCATTCTAGGGTGCTTGCAATTAATCAAACCTCACATCATCTAAATCTGCACAAAAACATCAACTTGTATATTACAATTTATTTCAATACATTAACTTGTTGTGAACAATGCTTTCTCATATAGTTATAATTTCAACTGTAAAAAACATATTATCCAGGGGCGGAGCTAGCACAAAATAAAGGGGGGGTTCCACTTGCTTGCTTTACTCTGGTTTGAATCAAATTTAGCTTGATATGGGTGCCTAAATTTGAACTAACAGAGTATATATATGGTGAAAATGGATAAACTATAGCTAAATTTCTTTTGAACCGGGTTCCTGGGCACTCCCTTAGCTATATGTAGCTCCGCCCCTGATATTATCAACAACAATAATAATATGATAAATCATGAACATTAATCGGAAGCTACATCTCCTTTTAAAACCCATTAGAGATAGTACAATCTAACATTTTACGTCGTTAACCATCAATTTTTATCAATTTATATAAATTTACATCACAGGAGATTTATATCGGTAAGATTCACCACGAGAGAAATGTTTCAATAATATGTAATTCATTCACCACATGTTGTTAAACTGCATAAATGTTTAAAATTTAATGGACAAAAGGTATCAGTGTTTGGTTCAGTATAAAATTGAAACAGTACATCGTTTACGCGATGAGCAAAAAAAGGAGGAGAGACAGCTAGCGTTTGTTTAATTTGTCCGCAAGAATTGGCCCCGAGAATTTCGAGGTCGCCTCTGCCTGCAGAGCGTCAAAAACTGCATATATGTATGCGTACGCGCATGGCTGGGTCGCCAATGGCACTAGAAGCTCACGCAGCGATGTCAAAGTGAACTGCGAAAGATTCGAGGTCGCCTCTGCAGATGTCAACTACACTACTACTCCTACGTGGAAGAGATCTTGAAGCGATCGATCCGAGGCTGCATATTTTCACTGCAATTAAGAGTTAACCCCGGGATGTCGTTTACTTGGCTGTTATTGGACCGATCTGTGGTGCAGTTGATTGTTAATTAATTGTTTCAGTTTTGCTATATATTTATCGACAAATTTTCTCCTAAAAATTTAGCAGATGTAATTACAGCACAGTCGTAGTGTAATTACACTGTAACTTGTATGTAACTTTAATTTTGAACCATTAGATTTCTTTCAAGATTTATACAAGTGAAAAAGGAAAAAAGTCAATGCGCGCACATATGTGAGAGGATTCGTTCCTATGACCTATGTTTCATCAAAATAGCATATAATGGAGAGATTTTTGAAAGTTACATAAAAGTTACATGTAAGTACATCATGATTGTAATATAATTACATCTGTCAAATTTTAAGGATAAAATTTGTCGATAAATGTATAGGTGATCCCAATTATTTTCGTCCCTGTGCTGTAAATACGGCGAATTGATCTCATGATTTATTCATTTGATATTATGATCCGGTTTGGATTTTGGCCTATATGATTTATCAGAGTTGGACGTACATGTTTAGTACTATATCGCTAGTTTAACAAGGTGAAACCAATTATATATGGTCTTGGCCCTCCAACCATATGACAGTATGGTTATCCCTTTCACACGAAACGAGCACAAAACTATAAGTGAGGTGTGATGTATAAGTGGACCTGTCCGCTGGATGGGCTGGGCCATGCTTATTTAGAGGGCGGGTTATTACAATTCAAAACGTCTTATAATTTATAAAATCGATGGTATATATATTTCGACCAATGTGTCCATGGATCGAATTTTTGAAATGTATTAAATTAATTATACATCTAACGGTTAAAAATTAATTAAGGTTAATTATCTTTCATCCAAGGTACATATATAGGGTAAAATTGTCAAAGCTACAAACTTTTCGTGTGGGAGAGATATGAAGCACAGAGATGGCAATACATGTCGCTTTATCACTGTCCATTTATTATAAAAACTTTAATATCACTGCTGGCACACAGTGAAAACGAGCAGTGATATATACTATCAGTATCGGTTTTATATATCTCGTACCGATAAATGATATCGAAACCATGCTATGTTTGTACTAACGGACTGAACCTATGTATTTCTTCCATCCTAAAATAAATTAACCACGTATAAGATGTAACACATCCTAATAAATTCATAGTATTAGGATGCGTCATATTTACATTTTGTACGATGTTGGTTTATTTTAGGACATAGAGAATATATGTTAAGTTCTCTCTTCATCGACATGGTTTGCTAGCTGGGAGATGCTAGAGGTGGCGTTGGGAAGAGGGAGAAGATGGTGGGGGAAGAGGAAGTGGTGGGTGGAGCAGAGATGAGATGAGGGGCACTAAGATGAAAATGGCAAAGCAGAAATAATTTAATGAGGCCGATGATAAATAAATAAAGTTTTGCAATATAAAGACTTTATAATTTGAGAGTGCGACATTAAAGACAATGCTGGCAAATAATCCAGAATCCATGCGTTACGTCGTGCTCTATAAATTTGTGCCATTGTTACAAATTTGAGAAGAAACAAGAAACATGGATATAATTTCGCCACTGGAGAATACCACAGGTGCAAGAAGGCAGAGGGTACTATACACAAAAACAATGAGAATGGAGTTATAGTTTTTTGCTCGTAATATTACACACAATACAATCCCTGTCGTGTTATGTGAATTAGTGCATGAATATATTGATCTCTAGTATAATATGTTAATTCTTTAGGCTGTGTTAGGGAGTCCAAGTTCCCAACCTCTACTATATTGTTTTCCATGCGCGCTCTTCCCGAACTTCTAAATGGTATATCTTTATAAAAAAAACATTTATATGTAAGTTGGTGTAAAAATCTTATTAATATTTTTTTAATTTTTTAATAATACTTAATTAATCATATGTGGAAGTGGATGTTCATCTAGGCGGCGTACGTGAATATATATGCGTATAACGTACTGCTCATTTTCTAGCTCCATTGGTAGCTAGCTTTATAAAAAAAATTCGTCGATGAAAATGTGACTTTCGTAGCCTTTCCATCTGCTGCTCGGCCTTTGACAATCTGATTAATGGACAGGCCAATAGTGCGCATGGGCTAAAATGGCCTATGATCTAACTATCTGCTTTCTTCAGGCCTTATATGAGCCATAAGATCAAAATGCATGGGTTGGCGCATAGGAGGCCCCTGTGCTAGCAGCTGGGTGGGAGAGTTTGTAAGACCCAATTCTGATTGTCTCTGCTTCTTGGTTTTATTAGTTGTACCCAAAATCAAAATATTAAAGCTTAATTTTAGATTTAATTTCGCGGTTCTTTTAACATTGTCTATTTCTTGCCTTGGATTTTAAATCGCTAATAGCATAGATATAAAAATATTTCACATAATTATTATTCTTGTTGCTTCATTTATTTTTTTATGCAATGGGTGGTAGGGTGTACAAAGAAAAGGCAAAACGATCGAGGTTGTTCTGACTTTTCGTGCCAGTTTGCCAGACTGTTTTGTTCTGTAGAGGCTTTAGGATCTGTTTAGATCAATTTGCTGTGGCAATGTTTTTTAAAAAAGTTTTGGTGGCAAAAGATTGGCATTGAAGTTTTGCTAGTTGATGTTTAGATGCATGGTGAAGTTTTGCCATTTTACTAGTAAAGACTGATTTGCCCATATTAATTGCACATCTTAAATGCTGCTACATCTCTCATACAAAACCCACATATAATAGATAAAACAGTATATATCAGTATTCAGCAACCCACATATAAACATTCAACATTCAGCCACATATAAACATTCAGCATTCAGCATTCAACATGAAGCAACAATATATACTTCATGTATACATTCAGCATTCAGTATTCAACCACATGCCCACATATAAACATTCAGCATTCAACATGAAGCAATCATATATACTTCATGTAAACATTCAACACTCAACATTCAGCGTAATGCTCAGACTAGAGAACAATGCATCTGGAGGTAAAGGTTTCCATATGTCATTAGGGCTGGACAAAAAGCTCTTGACTCGTTAGCTCGACTCGGCTCGTTATGTTTTTGAAACGAGCCGAGCTGTTGTTTTAGCTCGTTACACGTAACGAGCCAGCTCGAGCTGATTCGCAAGCCGCTCATGAGCTTAAACGAGCTGGAAGGATATAGGCAGACAAGTTAGCAGGCCAAGGCCCATATGAAGGAAACACGGTAGGCCCCAAGAAAACAGTCAAAAAGGACAGTGTAGCTCTCATCTTCCTCTTTCCCCTCATCCCAAATTCCCAATCCAGATCGATTTCCTTCTGCCGCGCGCCGCCCCGGCTTGTTGCCGCGCCTCGCGTCCTTGCGTCACGCTCCTACCATCCGGCGCACCTCCTCAAGGTCCGGCGGTGACATCTGTTGCGCCTCGACCACCTGCACGTCTCTCCCGTTCTTGGCTTGGTCGAGTGGTGTCATGGTCGGGGCAGGAGGAGTTGATAGAGATGGAGCGCTGCAACGAGCCGCCAATCCCAGCCACTGCTGCTGCCTGCTAGGAGGTTGCTGGCACGGGGCGATGGATCCTGCAGGTGGTTGAGCACAACCACCTGTGTGCTCGATCTTGTATATTGCCCACCAGCAAACGAGATTATGATTTGTTAAAGGTAGAGCTACCATGAATAATGATGCATTTGTTGAACACTTGAGCTAGCACATGGTTTCTTGGTTTGATACAAAGATACCATTGCATTCTTGGACATTTTGTTTGTATAATTTGTATTTGCATCGCAAGTTTTTTTTTCCGGTGTATTGGCTATTTGGCTCGAGCCGAGAAGCGAGCCGAGGCAGCATTTATAACGATCCGAGCCAGCTCGTTATCCTAATGAGCTAAGCTAGAGCGAGCCGAGCCGAGCCAGCTCGATATCCACCCCCTATATGTCATACACGTGATGTTCTCTACGTGTGGAAAGAGAAGTTAAACTTGGATCCTAAGTTTGAATTATATGGAGATGTGCTCACTGGTTTGGACGTTTGGTAGATTTCATATGTGATTAGGAGTCCTAATTCTAATCGCCTCCGTGACTAGAGACAGTCATGTTGTGGGTATAAATAGAATAGGGATTGAGGCTGGAAAAGATTGATTTTTGGAGAGAAAGAGTTAGAGTTTGCTTTAAGATTTCGATTCTAGTTTGTGAGTTGAGAGATGGGTGCTTTAGATGGACTTTATAAACATATATGGATGCAATAAAATTAATCTGCTCTTAAAAGTTTTGTCGATACGCGTTTTTCTATATCCCGACAGTTTAACCGGAGTTCATCATACGGTCTAAAAAGGAACAAGACGATAGTCAGACCACCGGCGAGCAGACGGTTAGACCGGCGAGAGTGCTGCGGTCAGACTAGAGTTAATCTAGAGGTCAGACTGAGCTACGGTGCGACTTCATCGAATTTGAGGAAAACTTTTAATTCCTCTGAATGTTTTTTTTTTTGTTTTTGGTGTTCGTACCATATATTTACCCCCTCTCTCGTAGACTTGGTTCTTATATTCAATCATCTAATTTTGTTTCCGAAGCAGTAAAATTCATATGAAAATTTTATCTGCATAATTAGAGAAATTTTGGTCAGAGTCAGCACCACCTCGGTACAATTAAAAGATTAATTAATTCGATGGTTTGCTTATCCTAATCTCCGCGTGCATCGGGTTCGATCACATCTCAAATCTGTGCTGCGTGGTCGGATTGCCCACTTGCTTGGCTCATTACGAACAAGTCAAAAGTCAGTTGCGAAAACTTCGAGGTCGCCCTCTGCAATGTCAACTGCCATAGGTAGCAGAAATCTTCTGCCCATCAGAGGATGTGCTTGTTTCGATCTGTGAACTCATGCCACTATGAGTTAGTTTAACCCGGTTCTTCTACTACTACTAATCTACCTCAATTCCTTTCTGACCTATACTCGAAAAAAACAACCTACCTAAGTGTATTGGTTGTTTTGATGAGATGGAAGATGAAATGGAGGTAAATTAATTAGGTTTGATCTCTTTAAAACAATTCCTCCTTCCATCGATCCTATGATCTAATTAGCGATAGAGATATACACATTCGTCTAGAATTTAGTAACTTTTCATCCATCCAAAATATATAAGCAACTTTTGATTATCTATTTGAACATATACTTGTCCAGATGTATAGAAAAACTTAGCCAAGAAGAAAAACATCTTGTGGGAAAAAAAAAGGGATATGGAATGGAGTACTCCCATGTCCCAAAAAGAACCCAATCCTAGATTTGAATCAGGATAAATATTATGTCTAGATTTAAATCTAGGCTTGGTTTTTTTTTTTTTACGAAGGTTGTATAGGACTAGCTAAGTAGCTATGATTAGAAGAGCATCTATATATACTTAATAAAAGGAAAACCGAGTATTGGAAACACAACAAGTGGTACGCTATACGCAGTAATTGATATATATAATCTTCATGGTCATCTCGATCACTTGTTTGAATTGGTCTTGGTCAATAAGCACTCCATTAATTGGTCTAGGTTTTCTATCACCACCACATGTACATGATCCCCTAAAGAAGCTTATTAGCTGAAGGTTACTTCACTGGGCAGCACTGTACTCTACTTCGCTAGCCTTACGCTCTCTATAAATACGTACTAAATCCATGGGTTAGCACTCATCTCAGGTTAACAAACCTAGCTAGCCAGTAAGTCCACAATGGCAGGCACTAAACTTGTAGCTCTCGGATTTATTGTTCTTTTGAGCATTGGGTTAGCCAATGCCGCGAGAGTAGCTAGATACTCGAATGCTGAAGGAAATGGCTCGGGACAGGGCGGGGGTGTCGGATACGTGAATGGTGGTGGCTCGGGGTCTGGAAGTGGTGCTGGGGCTGCACAGAGCGGCTCAAATGGTGCCCACGCTACTGCTGGAGGTGGAGGTGGAGGTGGTGGCAATAGCCAATACGGTGGATATGGGGCGGGTGGTGGATCCGGCGTTGGTTCAAGCTCTAGTCAGTATGCTACCGGGTATTATTCTGGTTATGGTGGTTACTCTAGCGCTGGAGGTAACGGTGGAGGTGGTGGTGGAGGACAAGCTGGGGGTAACTGGGGATCTAGTGGTTCTGGTGATGGCAGTGGTGCTGGCTCTGGCTCTAGTTCGGCCAACACATACTATGGTGGACCGAGTTACGCGAATGCTGATGCTAATGGTAATGGTAATGGTAAAGGCACCGGTACATATGGTGGGAGCGGTGGTGGCCAAGGTACCGGTTCTGGATATGGTGATGCCAGCCCATAATTCTCCTCACCATCCAACCAAAATACACTTGAATAGAGCCTAATGTGTAATATTGTATTTTGAAGTTATAGTATTTTTTTCTTTATTTGTACTCTTTTATGTCTAGCAAGAAATAAAGGGCTCTATTATTTTGGTAAACGTACTAAAGTCTGTATTGATGACTTGTGTGGGTGGGCGTGGTTAAGATTGTGTTATTGTTCTCAGCATTCATCAGTGAATATGCATGGACATTTCTCCACCCATAATAACTTTTGTAAAACTAATTATAATTTAAACTTTTTTTACGCTTGAAAATTTTCCCACGAGAAGATTGTCTTTTTAAGTTGACCATACCTTTAACATCTACTGTATCTTTTTCTTCTTATTTTAGATATCGAACTAGTAGCACTCTCTTTCCTTCTCATTTCCTCCTCCTCGTCACCGTTTCTCTCCGTATTAGTGAAGATTATACATCAAGGATGTATTTATATATCTATAATAGAATTATATATAGCGGTAATACGAAGTACATAATTAACTTAATTCCAAAGTAACTACTATAAAACTGATTTTTCATACGATCAAAACAGATTTTTGCATGCAGTTTCTCTAACCGCATGCACGAAAAGGTCTATGACTAGAGCAACCACATGCGAAAATGTTGACGCTTAAATTGTCCGATTGCGAAAAGGAAACATCGAAAAGCAAAATTCCAAAAATCTCGAGAGCCAAACCCTAGAACCTCGCAGCCACTGCCGCCATCCTCGTTGTCGCTGTTATCGTCGCACAAAGCCTCCACCGCCTCCTTGTCGTCGCCGTCGCGACCGCCGCCGCACACAGCCGCCACCGCCCACCTCGTCATCATCGTCATTGGGGACGGAGCTGCTGTGCCACCGCTACCACTGGATCCGCCATCGACCAGCCCACCACCGCTGTCGCTCGAGCTGGCTACTGCCACTTGAGCCCACCATCATTGTCGCCGCTAACGCTACCGAGGGCAGTGGATCCGGTCCTTCCGACAACAGCATTGCCAGATCTGCCGCCCGTTGTAGCCGCTCCCGAGGAAGCGGCAGCGGATCCGCCGCTAGCCCTTGTCGTACGCGCGCCGCTGCCGGCCTCTCCCGCCCACCGCTTGGGATGGGGAGGTGAGGGAGAGAGAGGAAGAGAGAGGAGAGGAAATGAGAAGGGGAGGTGACTTAGAATTTTTTTCTTCTTGAAGATGGTGAGAGGGAAAGGGGAGGACGGCTAGACTTGTAGAAAGGTCTTTAAGAGGCCCATCTGCGAAAATTGAATCAATTTTCGCATGTAGCCGCTTAAGAGATCTGTCTTTGAAAATAGACTTATTTTCGCATATGGGCCAGTTAAGAGGCCCATTTGTGAAAATTGATTTTTGCATACGGGCCTCATAAGAAGCCGTATGAAAAATAGAAGTTGATTTTTGCAGATGCGAAGTTACGGTCCGTCTGCAACCTGTGGGAGCCCTTGCATAGAAAAATCATTTCTGTAGCAGTGAATTGAGGCGAATTATTTATTGATTAAGTTCCATAAAACATGTTTAATTTAACAGAAACTGTCGGTCAGAGTCAGCACCACATGCGTGTACAATTAATTAAGTCGATTTCTTGCTAATCCCATTAATCTCCATAAAACACAATATGAGCTTGCTCTATACACAATGATCACATAAAAAGCAGCTTATGCCGAATTGATGAGGTGATAGGACTGACCGGTACTTGATGAAGCCATAGGCCTGCATGAGCTCGCGTTGGCGTTGTGGATGTAGGCCGTTTTGATGCAGTAGGTGAACACCGGCATGATCGAAGAGAGTGGTATGTGAGGCAGCGATTTGAGCGAAAGTTAATTAGTTACATGCGGTCATATGAGTTAATTGATACCTCCGTTTGAGGTTATAAGACTTTCTAGTATTGTCTTCGTTTGTTTATGGTTTCGAGAAATGGGGATCATGTGAGTTTGTCACACGCGTGACTCAGCCTTCTTCTTAGTATTACAGTGCTATGGAGTCCAGACTAGCATCTCCTCGTTTGTGAGACGGCGTTTGCAGGGTGGACGTGCTATACGCCTCTCTTTGGCTTCGGTGGCCAAAGATCAACCCAAACAGGCGAAAGGCACCACACTAACTAAACAGAGGCAGTGGAGGAGACACTGCTAGCTCTTCCTATTTCTTTCGCAACGTTGTAGACCAAGGAGCACTGATGGGGGACATGGGTTAGGTTTTTGTTTACTTTTTGAACGACCAGACCGTGGGATGATTTATTAAATAAAATAGAACCAGAAAAAGTGCCCGTGCGTTGCAACGGGAAGAAAATACGAGAAAATTGAGGAAACGTTGAGAAATATTTACATTCTGTAATTAATTGAAATACAAATTTCCCTTCTTTATATAACGCTACATATGAAATCATAATTGCACATATATACGATGTTGAAGAAAAAAAAGGCCCATAAGAATCAAGGTGAATTCTGGACTAACCTGGCTATATGATAGGTCTAACATCCCCGTACTATCTGTCGAATCAAAAACGCCCGGACGAACGATTGGAGTTGCATGTAATGTTGCATCGTAGTTGCACATCCTCTCTAAAAACAGATGACATCATTGAGTTCAAAAATCTTGGGAACGTGTTTTCATCAAGTCATTTTCATTGAATTGATCTTATTAATCTCTATTTTGATGAGCAGTGACTATAGAAATTTCAATGATGCAAGATTCTTGTGATCTGTGAGGGACATAGACATACGTATGTATCATGTTAATCCAAATTGAGAACCGGATGAACTGTCATACCTTGATTTTCATTTTATGGATTTATAAATTATGTCTACAATTTATACTAAAGTTCAATTAATTTACCTGTGAAGTAAATGTGGGAAATAAAATTTTCCAAATAAAATATGGCTGAATTATTAATTACACTATATGAAATTGTTTCAGAATATTCAGAGCTCAATTGCTAATTTTAGTAATACAAACATCTTTTTAGCATTTATTTAAATAAAAATCTAAATAAAACCCCTCCTTTCTCTCTGGGACATTTTCAGCCCACTTATTTCCTTAGCCCGCAGACTAGCTGGCCCACAAGTGCGAATCAGACCCATCAAGCAACCACAAGTCTAATAATCGTCCCCATGTTCCTTCTCTCTCTATCGTGCGTGTCCCAGCGCTACAGTGTCATCTCCTACCTCCAGCCGGACTCCCGCATCTGCCCAACCCTGTTTGAATCCGCCTCCTCCATGAAATCCGACCACATTCTAAGAGATAATCCAAAATTGACCGAGGGGTTTCGATCATTATCTCCTTCTCTTTCCGTTTTCCTAAGAATCGGAGCACACCGCATCGTATCAAGTTGGGAATAGAGTCCTATCCTAAGTCAGCTAACCCTAGAGTTTTTCGTCTTTTGTTAATCACTTTTTTTTCCAAGTACGAATCGAATTTGTTTTTGCTATTTTTCTTTTTTTTTTACTGCGTGAATTTTTTCGCCCTTTTAAGTTACGGACGACGAAAAGCTCTTTGATTTTTTAAGTAGTATATAATAGATAGGAAAAAAAATATAAGGCTAGCACATTTAAAGGCATTAGCGAAAAAAAAACCATCGCCACCACGCACTGACGGCGCCTATACATGACCCAGAAGAAAACTACCACCGGACCAACTGCCGCTAAGTGTGGCTGGCCATCGCTAAACCAACAAAGAAACTACCACCAAACTGCCTAAAAGCAAAACCTAAAAAGCAAGCACAACAATCAACTCTATCCATCTCAAAGGGATTGGAGGGGGGCCTCTCAGATGACGTCTCTAAAGTGAAAAGCGACGATGAACACCACCGTCACCATTCATCAAGGTCACAAAGAACCAAGACATGGTTTTCACCTGGTAGCCCCCCCCCACGAGAGGGATGGCTCGACAGCACCCCCAAGAGAGAAAACAACGTCTACCACACACCCCTTATCGATCCACAGATATCGCCCCATTGCTCTACCACCGGCCATCCTCCGTCAGCACATGGCCACTGCTGCACTGATACCCCCTCGTCAATCAGCCTCGCCATGCCTTGTGCCACATAGCCATCACCAGCCTCCATGCCATTACCGCGCGACCTCCCACGTCATCGGCAAGGCCAGCCTCCCTTCTGTTGCCCACGCCAACCTCCCGACACCGTCCGTGACGGCCTTCCGCTGCCGGTGGTGTCACCCGCACCGGGCTACACGCATCAACGACCTCTCCCGGCGATGTCAGGCGCGCCTCTTAGCGCTGCCACTCCGGCCTACCGCCGCCACCGGCCACTGCCAGCCGCCGCCCGGCTTCCTCCCATCCCCACCACCTCCGCCTTCCTCCCGCAGACGACACCACTTGGGTGTGCCCACTGTCAATGGCGCGCCGTTGTGCTCTTCCTCCTCGTCCGCTCTGCCACCTCCACACAGCCGCACACCACCCGCTTCGCCGCTGGCGGCAGCTCGTGGACCAACCTCCCATGCTGGGGAGACTGGATCCAGACGGGAAGGGGCCAGATCTAGCAGTGGACGCTGTCCACCTAGTTGTCAACGCTTCCTTTCTCCTATTGACTCCGGCAGCCAGGCCTTCGCGCGCCAGCTCCAGCCCAGCGTCGCTGCAGCTGTTGTTGCCCCGGAGCTGATCGGGGTTGTGGGCTCCGACCCCATGACCTCTGGGAAAAGGAAGGCCCTGCCACCGCCGTCTTTGCGGCCACGCAGATTCCTGTGGCTCGCTCAGGTGGCGGTGAGGCGGAGGATGGAGGGAAGTGGGGGTGGTGGTGCGGCAGCGGAGGTCACTGCCCCAAGGGAGCGAAGCGGGGGACCCCGTATGCTTTGTTCCTAGCGGATATGGGTTAGTTGAGCTGGCCAATATACATGATATGAGAACTGGGCCAAGCTATTCAGACTAGAGTTGAAAGGAGGGTTTAAAATCGAACAGTACTCATTTCATGATGACACATATACATTAGGTTAATGTCACGGGTTTCAGAAGTCGTTAGAAACGAGGCATCTCATATGAGGTTATTTTAATTAGTGGTGACATATTGTTTTTCCTATTATAAGTAAGTGAATATGATAAATTATTCTTGAATATTTCTAAATGGTAAGATAAAAAATGAAGATATAATTCTCTCCGTTTCTTAAAAATCCATTGGTAACAGAAGGCATTAACTGAATTGAAGGTAAAATAAAATAAAAGGCATTAATTTGTATAGATAGTTGATCAGAGCGTGGAGATCATCAATATCTATTTTATTGTGTATATTACAAGGTCCGCAGGGTTTTAGTTCTATTTAATTAGTATGTAGAATTGATGAGCACAATTTCCTGACAAATATCCTAATTAACATAGTAATAGCCTTCCGGTCAATTAGATGTTTAGCTAGAATAATACTCCATTCCTCCTTATAGTGCACATAATTTCCCCATCAAATAAGTAATGCCAAGGCCAAATTTTCGCGATGTATCATGCATGGGAAGCCCTGCAAAACCTTCTAAGGAGATATTACTAATACACCGTTCAAAGATGTAGACGCCGGGTCGAATATAATCCTTTATCTAAAAAGAGACAAGTGATAAACAACATCAGTGCCTAATAATGCTCACATGTAAGATTTGTTTTACAATCTAGTCAACAAGCTCCATTTCTACTCTAGTTATATTTTAAGCTTCTGTCTCGTTTCCCATGGAAGATGCCAATCCTACACACTACAAGGTGGTGCTAGCTACTAAGAGCTAGCTGAGATAAACAACTAACCACATCATAGCTTTGATGATCTATAAATACCCATGTCATCATCCACAAATCTCTCAAGCTCATAATATGGCAGGCACTAGAGTGTTAGCTCTTGGCTTCATTGCTCTAATGACTCTAGGATTAGCCAATGCTGTGAGAGTGTCTCGACTCTCTAATTCTGATGGCACTGGCGCAGGAGGGGGTGGGGGTGGTGGCTATCTAAACGGTGGAGGGTCTGGGTTTGGTAGTGGTGCTGGGTCTGCTCAGAGTGGGAATCCTTTTGGTTCCTATGCAACTGCTGTAGCTGGAGGAGGTAGTTCTAGCACTAGTCAGGATGGTGGATCCGGAAACGGCGCGGGTGGCGGATCTGCTTCTGGAGCTGGGGAAAATATTGATACTGTATCCACTGGTTATGGTGGATCCACTAGCGCTGCTGGTAATGGTGGCGGTGGTGGAGGAGGACAAGCCGGGGGTTCGTATGGATCTTACGGTCAAGGAGGTGGTGGTGGCACCGGATCAGGTTCTGGTATGGCTAACACGTATGTGTTTGTTCCAATAACTGAGGCAGAAGGAAATGCGAAAGGAAATGGTGGTGGTAATGGTACTGGGCAAAATGGTGGGAATGGTAACGGTGGAGGTGGTGGATCTGGGTATGCTAAAGCACATCCATAGAATTTTTATTGTACAACCGATGCGTAGGATGTTACCTAAGTCAACTAAGTCAGTGTCATAAGCTGATGTATGAAATTTGTACTTTTGCTCGAAAATGCATCAGTAAGTATCAATAAATAAATTTCTCCAGCGTTTTAGGTTCATAAATTTTTGTGTACGGTGCAATTTATGCAACTTGTGCAGTGATGACTAACACTTGAGTTATTGATAACATGGCATTTGGTCACTCTAAATATATGATTGTTCTTTCTTAAATAATGTAATCTCGTGTGTACATATAACTGTATTGTGTCAAATACTACTTATATAGTCAAGGAAAAAGAAGAATGGCTGCGTGCACTTGATTTTTTTTTCTAAAAACAGAAGTAATTAATTCAATAGTGAGATCTCTGTCACAAATTTAAATACTGAGATTGAACACATGAAAATGATACACATGTGGATTTAGCGTTAGTGCGTGGTACTTTCGTAGTAATATACTCCTCATGCTTTTAATAAATAACACCATTGATTTTTGACACTTGACCATTCATTTTATTTAATTTTTTAATTCAAACGCTAAATCTTACTTAAAATATTTTTCGTGAAAAAACAACTCCCAACAAAACAAATGATCATAAAAACATAATTTTTTTTAACAAATCGAATGATTAAACATGTGTTTAAGTTAACATTAACGGTTCTATTACAAAACAGAGGAAGTTTTTCTTGAAGAGTTTATTGGTACTGTATATACTATGTAGAGAACGTTTACGCTGACAGCTGATTATGTGACTTGAAATTAGTTAGGCACAAGTTAGGTGAAAGTTGGCTAAAACAGGTGTAATAGACACGTGGGACAACGTATTACTACCTCTCTCTTAAAATATAAACATTTTTAAGATAAACACGAGTATTAAAAAATAGATAAAAAATATTAAAGAAGGTTTGTAATTGGTTAAAAAAGAGTAGGAAAAAAATTAAATGTAGATTGGTTGTAATTGGTTGAGAGGAGGGTGTAGGTGAAAAATAGCTTCATTTTGAGATAAGATACTGTGGCCCTCTTTGTTGAGGCTTAGGTTTATTGGCTTAGACTTTTAAGTCAGTTTATTGGCTTATATGATTTATAAGACGGTAGATTTAATGTCCTAAGTTTAGTAGTGGAGTCATACATGTACCTCACATAAGCCAAAAATGCTCCTCCAACCTAGCTTTTGGCTTAATAGTGTTAGAGTGGCTTATGGCTTAAAAAAAGCCAAACGAAAAAACTGCTTGTTTGTTTAGGCTTAACTTTTCGACTTATAAGTTGGCTTATAAGCCTAAACAAATAGTGCCGGTAAATAGCTTAATTTTAGAACGGAGACAAAAAAAAAAAGCTGAGATTTTGTAACATGTCAAAAATATATAGCAACAAACTACCAATGTAAGTTTCCTACGAACCAAAATTTTGTTTCTCATTTAGCAATAATTTTTAGGCAAGTAGCTGGTAGGCTTAACTGGCTACTGAATAAACACATCGTGGTGGCAAATTCTAGAGCTGTGAGATCACCATTTCAACAAAACGACCAGAATCTGCCTAGTCACTTTTTGGTGCATATGCCTCCAAAACTGGTGGTTAATAAGGTACGTAACTACTTGCCTAATATAAATCATCTCCGGTTTTGAACAGGTCGAGAAAACTCTAGAGTCTAGATAATTGCCACTAACAAATTCCAATCAACCTACATAAGGGAAAGAAAAATGTTCACTCCAACGCAAATAGCTCACTACACGGAGTATGTATGTGTATATATATATATATATATATATATATATATATATATATATATGAAAAGAAAATTTAGAGGATTTCAACCCTATAAAAAATTCCTAGAAAATTATTTGAAACAGAGGATTGATTATATCCTTCACTTTGAAATTTCAATGGAATGAAAACCTATAGAGATTTTAGATAAAAGTTAGCTAGAGTTCTAACCTCTAGAAACTAATGAACTTCAGTGATCATTAGAATGCAAGTTCTAGATCAGTTAACTGAAAAGATAGAAATCTGGCTTTGGAGAGTAATAATGTTATGCTCAAACAGAAGAGAAGAGTGTTATCTTATTTGGAACTTTTACCCGAGCTAGATGGATAATATAAAACATGATGAAATATCCAAACTATATATATTCACACATCTTTCTAAGGTATTTGAGATTTAAACATGGATTAAATTGGAGTACAGAGTCAGGAAATAGTACCATTGTGGGATATGCCATTTTTTAAATTAACACAAATTGTCCAGCTAGCTAGCTCTTTTATCCTCCTACTCAAACTAAATTGCACTGATCTTGAAACAGCATGGGTAAGAGTAAACCACGTATAGTACATCATGCATGTTGCCATGTTGTAGTACAGTTTGTACTTCTCTAATCATGATCGAGCTCCAACTCTTAAACATATGAGTAGGTATGCAGCTACTATCATAAACAAGTTATTAACCCATCTCGGATCTTGGCGTCGCACATTAATTGCCCGGTTGACTGTCTTAATTAATCACAGGGCTAGATTGCTTAATTTGGCATGTAGATTATCTCTGTGGGCTACTCACCGATTATTTTGCTCATTACTACTTTTTTCCTTAGGTAGTACTATCTTCGTTTCGTTTCAGGTTATAAGATGTTTTGACTTTAGTCTATTTTTAAGTTTGACTGAGTTTGTAGAAATTAAAAAGTAGTAACATTTTCAACCTAAGACAAATTTATTATAAAAATATATTCAATTATTGATTTGATGAAACTAATTTAGTATTACAAATATTACTATATTTGTCTATTAACTTAGTCAAACTTGAAATAGTTTGACTTTGACGAAAGTCAAAACGTCTTATAACCTAAAACGGACTGAGTTTGTAGAAATTAAAAAGTAGTAACATTTTCAACCTAAGACAAATTTATTATAAAAATATATTCAATTATTGATTTGATGAAACTAATTTAGTATTACAAATATTACTATATTTGTCTATTAACTTAGTCAAACTTGAAATAGTTTGACTTTGACGAAAGTCAAAACGTCTTATAACCTAAAACGGAGGGAGTAGTACGTAACAAAATGGCATAGCCGTCATTAACCCAACAACCAAGAAACATTTATTATCATCTTCTCATTTTGATCACTTCAATAAATGCAATTCATATGCTTCTAATAGAATTAGAGATATTGAAAATGGAGGATTTAAAATAATAATTTAATGAAGATGATGTGCTAGTTAATTACTTAGATGCCTACACGCCTTATATTTCTGAAACATATAAAAAAATAGTTGTGTTCTACTATATTTTAAAACGGAGGGAGTATCTAGCTACATCCATTTCTAATATTAGCCAAATCAACAGCAGTAGTATGAAGTGTTCAATCGGATTCCAATTTTAAATTGTTTTAGCATTATCAACTCATTTAAAAAAATAAGTCATTTTGAAAGCTTAAAAAAGAAACCACTAGGACTTCTTATATTTTTTTTTCCAAGTTGTTTCATTAGGACAAACAGGAATACACTAGAAATTACTATCTCCATCCCAAAATAATTACATTTCTAGAAAATTAGAGACAGATTAGCGTCACATACAGATGACCACATTAACCTTATTTGATAATCACATTGCGTGCACACATTTTATAAGTAAACTTGATTAGAAGGAAGGTGGGGAGGTATAGATAGAAAGATATCACCATCTAATTAATTTGTTGGGTCTCACAACCTTAAAAGAAATGTAATTTTGAAGAGTTTCTTGAAGCTGCAGTTTCACACGGAATCTAAAACTGCCCAAACAGTCCAACAATTTTTCAGATTCTAAGAAAGTTTAGTTATGAAATTAAAAAGTAAACTTTAATAAACTATAAGTCATATTGGATTTTTCAGCTTCTTCAGATGCCACTGATAATTCCAGCTTCTTCAGATACTCTTGAGTTGTTTCTCATAATATAAAGAGTAAATTGCGCTCGTGGTACATGAACTTGTGTTATGGGTGCAAATACGTACAACAACTTGCAAATTGCTCATCCTAATGTAGTAACTTGACTAGTCCGTGCGAATTGGGCCAAAATTGTCAATGCAAACCAAATCGTTGTAAAACATCACAAATAGATGGCTTGACAGCTTACATGTATGACCATGTTTTGGTTATCTTATTTAGAATCCAAAGAAAAAGAGAAATTATATGTGTAAAATTTCATTTTTGATGCATAGAAAAGAATTTATTTCATGTCTTGGAAAAAATTGTCCTCTGTATAACTCGTATAATGTTGGGACCAGGAAAATTTCGTCCATGCCTTAGCCTCCTAGAAAATTTATTTTATTTTTCATTCTCAGACACTCCATTTCACCGAAAACTTATTTTAAAAGTTTATTTCCATGGTTGGACATTGATAATTGTCTCACTTTTGTCAACCTAAATATTGAAAATATCAAGTGAATAGTGATTACACATTTTATCAATCCAAATTTTGATGTGTAATAAAAATTACTCATCAATATGTACCATATTAGATCAATTTTGCTTGCAGAGGTTGTTTTGGCCCAGGTTCGCACGGACTTGGCAAGTTGTTGTATCGAAATGAGCAATTTGCAAGTTGTTGTACTTATTTACACCCACCACGCAAGTTTATGTACCATGAGCGCAATTTACTCTAATATAAAACTCATCTAAACATCAAGCAGGTTTATAATAGTATAACCAACTATAAATTTTCAACCTAAATTTTGAGGTGGTTTTGGTGATTTTTAATCGAAGTTTATTTTTCAGTCTTTGTTTTTAGATCATTAAGAACACGTATATAAAATTTTTATTCACAAATTATTTTTCGTTTACAAATATGTCGTTTGGCTTATTCCGTGGATAAGCCAAACGATGAGAGCCCATGTATAGTCAATCTAATACTCCCTCTGGTTCTATATTAATTGACGTTTTGGACAAGATTGAGGTTAAACTTTTATAACTTTGACCATCAATAACTTTAAAAATATTTAGTTTAAAAAAACTAGAAAAACATATATAGATTTATCTTTCAAAACACTATAATAAAAGTAAACATGCATTTATTTATTGTATATATTATAATAGAAAAATAAGATCAAAGGTATATCTTGAAGAGCGTGTCATTGTCCAAAGCGTCAATTAAAATGGAACCGGAGGGAGTAGTTAATTCATACAATAATTGCCTATAACTATATGCTGCACCATTAATACATGGTTCCACCTCTCATACATACAATATGTTGAAATCCGTGCTGTAGCTGGCTATAAATCTATAGCATATTTCTCTTTTCTTTTCTCTCTTATCTTCTTAACATGCATGTGTTTATAGATGACTTATAATCTGCTATCGTATTTGCTCTTAGTTTACTATCTCTCAGTGGTATCGAGAGAGTACCCCCAGATCTCTGTTCACAGGTGTCCTTAATTACAGTTCTTCCTGTTCCGGGTTGCTAACTTGCTTATTATAAATGAAGTCAACTACAAATTTCAAGGTCGCATCCGGTCGCACTGATAAAGCAGTCATGTACAGTCATCGATAGTTATGGATAGTCAACACTCAAACACTCTATTTATCTTAGATTCTCAGGTACGTCCAGATCAACTTGTGAATCCTTCCTTTATTATTTTTAAATATATAATGTTATTAGCTTTTGTACAATATTAACCATTCATCCTATTTGAAAATCTAGTGTAAATATGCAAAATACCAGACATGTTTGGAAAACAAACCACAAACCACAACGGAATACTTAGATACTATATAGTTTCTTTAAGAAAACGAATGAACAAAAGTCATATCAAGAAATTAACAGCGTCATGATCTATTTGACAACAGATGGAGTATTATTTTAACCATATTTCAGGTTCTCTCCCGGCTTAACTAGGATATGTATAAGGGGCTAGCTGTTTGGGATGGGAGAAACTTATTTTAGTCCTTCTAACAAAAATATAAATCCCTATGGGAGGGACTAAAATTATTGTGAGAGGGACTACATCCAAACACCACCTAAAGCATATATAAGACAATCGTCGTTGCTCTCTTCACATCAGCAAAATACGCCCATCTCATTGATGAAGATAGCAAAGTGCCCTTTTGATGACTAATATTGCATTACAGGATGCAAGGATAATCGTGTCCATTAAAGTTTTTGAAAGCTGAACTAGCTTGATCCATCGCCCCATTATGGTTGATCAAACCAAGAAGCAGAGCATCATCATGTTCCAAATTTTTATCTGGGCTGACCACCATCTACACCCCAAGGCTAAATAGTAGTACTATCTTCGATCATGAATACTCAACTCCATATTTTACATATTTTAATGTATGACGCTGTTGACTTTTTTCCAACGTTTGACCATTCGTTTTATTCAAAAAATTTATGTAATTATCATTTATTTTATGATGACTTGATTCGTCATCAAATGCTCTTTAAGCATGACATAAATATTTTCATATTTGCATAAAAATTTTAAATAAAACGAATAGTCAAACGTTGGTCGAAAAGTTAACGGCGTCATACATTAAAATACGGAGGGAGTATTTATTTTTAATAAGAATTGATCAAACTAACTTTGATTACCAATACCTTCTGAAATATTCAGTTCAAAAATAAAATTTTAGTATCGATATATGTTGCCTTAAAAGGTAGTCCCTCCGTTCCATAATATAAGGCACAACTACTTTTGTTGGATGTTTCATAATATAAGGCATGCATACAATTAATTAGGACCTCCTCTCCATTAAATTATTACTTTTTTAAATCCTCCACCCACAAGATATCTAGTTCTATTGGATGCATGTATTATATTTATTAGGGTGATCCAAACTAGGATATGATAATAATTATTTTTTGGTATTTGGGTTAAGGGTGGTTGTGCCTTATATTTTGGAACGGAGGGAGTACCTTTGTATTTAAATATATAATATTATTAAATTTATTTGGTCCTTGAGGTAAAACTTTAACTGCTATTCTTCTATTAGAATATAATAATAATAATTAATAAAATTATACTATTGCAAAAACAATTGTAAACACAAATCTAATCTTCAAACTAAATATTTGGAAGTTATTGATGGTCCTTTCAATATTCAATGTGTATTCCTATAATCGGCCGGTAGACAATTTGTTGTGATAATAATACTGAATACTCTGTTTTAAATACCACCTAAAATATATATACTATCACATATACATTCAAGCTTGCAGTTGTACATGCTGGCTCTATGGCCGGTGCTAAGCTGCCGACATGGATCACATGAAAGAAATTAAGCAAATGGCATACGAGCAAGCCCTAGATAAAAAAAAAAACTTGATAAGTCAGCCATAAAACACAGGATCCAAAGATGAAGGGTACAGAAAAGGCGGTGATGCTCTTCCTTAATTATGCTTGCGTCGCCAGTGATTCTCCATTAGTTTATCAACTTCATCCTGCCCTACTCCATTCACTATATCAATCCTCATGCGTGTGCTATATATGGTCAGTAAGCCGTTGCGTAATGCATGGCCTCTCGAGCACTATAAATATCGGTGTAAGTCGTCTTTGGTCTAGCAACCTCATCATCTATACTTACACATTTTAGCTCACAATGGCTATCACAAAACTAGCATCTCTCGGCTTTGTTATGCTATTATGCATTGGGTTAGCCAACGCTGCAAGAGTGGCTAGATTCTCTATCTCGAGCGCAACGGGCACCGGAGGAGGTGAGGGTGCCGGCTATGTAAACGGTCATGGCTTAGGGTCTGGAAGCGGGGCCAGCTCGGGCGAGAACAGCGTGGTTGAAGGATCTCATGCGGTTGCCCAAGGGAAAGGTGGAGGCGGTGGAGGTGCACCATATGGCGGAGCTGGATTTGGCGGTGGGTCTGGGTCAGGCTCAGTGTTTAGTAGCCTCGATTCTGCAGGATCCTCTAAAGCTGGTGGTACCGGTGGTGGTGATGGTGAAGGACAAGCAGGAGGCAACCCTGGATCTAAAGGTTATGGGGCAGGTAGTGGCATGGGCTCAGGTTCATCCATGCTGCATGAGTATTTTCCCAGTTTTACAAATGCACGTGCTAGCGCTAATGGTGGTGGCACCACTGATACTCAAAATGGTGGAAGCGGTGCCGGTAACGGTGGTGGTTCTGGATATGCTGGGTTAGGGCCACGTCCTTAGAAAATCTTTAGACAATCATACCACTCTACAATCTATCAGCAGATGGCATCCGTAGAAACCTTTTTTTCCATGTATTTGCTTGCATGAGCTACAAATAACGAAATAAATAAATGGCCTTGTTGTTCTAGTTAGTAAATTTAACCGCGTGTACAATTGGCACTACAAAAACAGCACTTTTTTCCAAACGGGCAAAACTTATTTTTCCGTAGGGTTGACCTGCCCGTCTGCACGAAAGTGTATGTAAAAAACTCAATTGTTTTTTTTCCATACGGGTGCTTATATTGTCCGCACGCAAAAATAAAAAACCAAAAAGATAAAAATCCCAAAAAAATAAAGAGCCTAGCTAGGTGCAAATCCACTGCAGCCGTATCCGTTTGGGGGACGGCCCTGCCGTTGCCACCGTCACCCCTCCCTCCTCCGTCGGGCTCCTCCCACCTACGAAAATGCATTTTCGTATACGGTCACTTAAGAGGCCTATATGTGAAAATAGGCTTATTTTTGTATACAGGTATGTTAAGAGGCTTGTCTATGAAATTTGATTTTTGCTTGTGGGTCTCTTAAGGAGCCGTATACAAAAACTCAAGTTGATTTTTACAGACGCGACCAATTACTGTCCGCTGCAAACTATAGGGGTTCTCGTATAGAAAAATCGTTCTGTAGTAGTGTGGGGTATCCTGTCACCGTTAAAAGTGCTAATATAATTTTTGTATGGCGTACTAGATGATACTTCATGAAGACAAAATTTGCTACAGGACACGCAAAAATCGTGTAATTAGCTGTGAGACACCGCAAAAACATGTCACTGCCCACGGACACTACAAAAGTTGCGTAATTGGCTGTAGGACACTAGAGTGAATATTTTATAATTTTCGAGCTTCGAGAGGTGAGAGTTTTTTCGTAATACCCGGATTGCCCCTGTGATTGGAGTCGAACCAGACTGGGTCGAACCAGACCCAGTCATCCCCATCTCCCCCACCCGAGTTCCATTCCCCAATCTTCCCCAATCCCGAGTTCCATTCCCCAATCTTCCCCAATCGGCGGCGGCGACAGCGGCGGCGAGGACGGCAGCGCTGGAAGCATCAACGACGACGGCGACGTTGGGTGATGGAGCAGTTATATTGGTAGGCAGCAGCTGGGATGATGTCACCGAGGAAAAATAGTGCAGGGAAGAAAGCATCCCTGCGGATGTTGCTGCTCCAAGCAACAAGGCAGCTCCTGCCATCTGAAGTTCAATGAGATGATGTTAGCTCCTAGTTTATGTGGAATGGCAGTGATTATTTCTGGAATTTTGCTTTGTGATTTTGCCAAACTGTCATATTGCTGTGTGATTATGATTATGCCAATCTGGGATGTAAACTTTTGTCTACATTATACAGACATGCTGCCAAAATTTGTGTCAACATCAAACCAATACTGGCAATGTTTATGCAGAGCTGCTGCAGAAGTATACATCACAGAGAGTTGCTGTCCAAAAATTTACGGCGAGTGCGGCGCCGCCGCCGCCGTGGACACAAGCCGTCCTCGCCGCCGCCGCCGCCTCCGCCGCTGACACAAGCTAGGTTAGGGATCGGGGATGCTTGGGGAATGGAACTCAAGTGGAGGAGATGGGGACGACTGGGTCTGGTTCGACCCAGTTGGGTTTACAACGTGTAGCGCTAGGGGCAATCCGGGCATTACGAAAAAACTCTCACCTCTCAAAGCTCGGAAATTATAAAATATTAACTCCAGTGTTCTACAGCCAATTGCACAACTTTCGTAGTGTCCGTGGGCAGCGACGCGTTTTTTGGTGTCTTACAGCTAATTACACGATTTGTGCGTGTCCTGTAGCAAATTTTGCCCTTCATGAATGGTAGCTCACAGTGATATGTAGCAATCAACACCTTCAGAGTATCTATTGATCGAAAAGGGACTCTAAGCAATCATGAATGAATATGTTTCTAAGTGGAAGCCCTAGGGATTATATTGAACATAAATTGATGCATCTTATCCCTTCGCTAGAGATCGAAGCCGATACAGCCCCGTGTCAGGTGTCAAGTTCTGCCGGTGATAAGTAAAAACCTCGGAAAAGAGGGTGGCGATGCACCGAGAGTAGTTGTATTGATCTGTGAGATAAATTACAATGACCCGGGGTGTTGATGACGCTCTCTCACGTGGCCCGATCTTCTGGTGAGGGGATAACTCTCGCTTTTATCGAGTGCGACGTTTGCGACGTGGCTACCAACCAGAACAAGTCCAGGACGCCGTGCAATCGCTACACCACAAACGATGTCGTACCAACCGTGACGCGCGGTTGATGATTCCTGCAATGCAAACGAGAGAACACTGCAAGAACAAGATAAGATGCAATCTAAATATTGCGAATAGGTGATTAAGCACAAAGAAATAGTTGCGATTGAAGTGGTAGATCTAATCGACCCGGCAAATCAACACGCCAACTATTGGGGGCTCTGAATCAATAGTCGCCGACTAATCGAGCGAGGACTAGAGACAAGGTGAATGGCACTTGGCAAAATTCAACTAAACAAAACCCAAATGTTTTTGAGAATGTACAAAGCTATTTATAGAGGAAAATAAAGCTAGGGTTAAGTGCTAATTCGTGGAGGTGGAGGGAGACACTTCCGAGATGGGCCTAGTCTATTACAAGGCCTAAGGCCTAAGTTCGGTTTCAGCAACAGCACTGTCTTGTTTTGGCGATTCCCGTAGACTCGAGATGAATTTGGACGTGAGACTGGATGCATTTGAAAGGTAGCGAGATAAGCTTTCCACGAAGTCCAAGATCACCCAAATCGGAGTTGGCATGAAGGCGCTAGGTCCGTTTGAAATCAATGCTGTCTCCGGAGGCCGAACTGGATTCCAAAACTCATTGGACTTTAATATCCTGTAGATCCTCCATTTATCCGATGTATTCTTTGGCAATGTTTTATATTTCTCATGCTTGGTTGTATGCATATACTTGATGGTCACATCATCCTCCCCTTCTTGTCTGGAAACCGTCCTCGGTTTCTTCTTGCAATTGTCGTCGTAGGAGAGATCACATGAAGAAATAGCAAACAAGAAATCATTATGTAGCATCATTTGTTCCTCATAAATAAAATTTACATAAAGAGAAAACCAACTCACCGCACTTAATGAACATTTCTTAAAACAATAGCGTGACTTGACCATAGAATCTAATGGTGCACAACACTCCCCTTCTTGAATATTGTCATCGATCTTCAAAACAGGGTTAGGTAAATTTATCCAAATAGCATCAACGTTGTACGATCCATTTAGTTTCTCACATTTTTTCATATTTAAAGGAGTATTCACATCTAAGCATATATAAACACGATGCACCATATAATCTCCTCTATTATTATATTTACCAATGACATGATAATTATTCCAAGAAAAACATGGAAAATCATAAAATTTCTTCTCTAAGGTATTTAGATCACAAGGAGCATCAAATTCGATATAACCTAAAGTACATAAAGAAGACAATAGTTCCAGCTCTTCTTGGTCATCAGCAATAACAAAGACATGTTTATTTTGAGTGGAAACCAAATATTCAGAAATAGAAATAACATGTTCTTTCACTAGTTGTGGCATGTATATAAGTGAAGCATTGCACAACTCTTCTTCATTACAAGCATTATCAATATTAACACAATCTGAATTTTTAGCTTGTGATAAAGGCAAATTAGAAATCTGTTCCACTAGAGGTTGCTCTAACATAGCATAATTAGTGGACAATTGTAGCATATCACAATCTTTCTTACCTTGATCCAGTTGACCATCAGTTAAATTACCTAAAACACTCTCTTCACCTATTTTAGGTTCTTCATTCTTATTTCCTTCAAAATTGTTTTTACCTTCCTGCATGATGTTAGATACAATAGAAGGCGCAAGAATATTCTCATGTATTATAGGCATTTTTGTTTTTTTCTCAATCTGACTTTCAATATCGCAAGCATGCAAAAGTAATTGAAAAAGATGGCTATGTGTTTTATTCTCAAGCCTATGCTGAATTTTTAAATTAAGCCCATGTAAAAATCTTTTAATTGTGTCTCCTCTAGACTCCTCTATACCACCATACAACATACAAATTTTAAACTCCCGGTGGTACTTTCTCACGGTTCTATTCCCTTGTTTCAAATTTTGCATTTTCTTTTGTAAATCACGAATATAATAATCGGGTACAAATCTAGCTCTCATCATTGTTTTCAAGTCATTCCAAGAACAAGGTTTATTACCGACAAGACAAATATCACTCCACCAAAGAGATGCAAAAGAAGTAAAAGAACTTATTGCTGCCTTAATCTTTTGTTCCTCGGACCATTCATAATATTCAAGTTCATCTTCCATTTCTAACTCTCAATCAATATAGTCCTTAGGATTAAACTTACCAACAAATAAAGGCAACGATATCTTATTTTCACAAACCTCATCATGTACCTCTTCTTGATGTGAAAGCCAACGCTTTATATGTTCAATCTCGTTCTCTTTATACACTCCTGTCATTGTTAGTAAGCAAAAGAAACTCACGAGAAAGTGTTAGTTCCTAACAACAATCTATAGATATGTGGAGCTTTTGAAGGCACTCAACACTCAAGCATATACCAAATTCTTACAATGTTCTCAAAGAATGCAAAAACAGGTCAATCACCGTGGCTGGTTCGTGGCACAATGACAAGCTTGATGAGTGGAGCGATTGCAAAGCAGGACCTATAAAGGTTAGTAGTATGTGGATCTTGGTAGGCTTAATTATATCACAAGGAATAGCAAAAATCAAACAGATTTGCGAAATTGAATAATAGTCCAAAGTACTAGTCAAAATTGCTGGCCTAGCCTAGATTCAATCCTAGCTCAAGCAAGCAAATGATCAAACACTCGGACTACAAACAACTCGATTTTATCACACCGCTCTCTCCAAGAAAACCAATTGTCGAAACTAGATTTCGGCAATAATAAAAGGGGGTGGCTATCAAGCTGGAAAAGTGTATGGGTTTGGAGACAAAGGATTTATACAGGTTCAGGCCTTCTTATTCAAGAAGTAATACCCTACTCCTGTCCGGGGATGAATCCGCCGAGTGTACTATTGATTGTATGATTTAGAGAAAATCAACATCTGCCCCTAGAGGCACCCGGACCCCC